AGAGAGAGAGAGAGAGAGAGAGAGAGAGAGAGAGAGAGAGAGAGAGAGAGAGAGAGAGAGAGAGTGAGAGTGAGTGAGAGAGAGAGAGAGAGGAAAAATGACGCAAAAGATAAATTTTTATGAGAGAGAGAGTGTGTGTGTGTGTGTGAGTGTTTCATAACGAAGACGGCTGCGCACGACCGCGCGCAGGGTTGTGGTGCCTGACGATAATGTGGGGGTTTCTTTGTCGTAACACGGTGGTGTTGGTATCGTCGACTTGCGCTGATTGTCTTAGTCGTCCCTCGGATAAAGCCATGGGCCGAAGATGGATTCGCAGCTGGTGTTAACCCACTGTGCCGCTCGCACTGAACTGAGCACGTGTATGGCGACGCCTGGCATATCTGTCCCGCCAGCTAAAAAAAAAATCACGACCGCTCTGTTTTACACGAGGTCAAATTGCAAGCCTGGGACCCGAGATTCAACGTAAAGGCAGGGATGGGTGCTGGGTTTGAGTGTCTAAGGGGGCATGGCTTGGGTTTGGGCGAGAATCAAAGGAATCTCGTTATCTACAGGGGTTCACGTCTCACGGCATTTCAAAGGAGGATGCATCTGGCTGGGACCGCACCATGCTTGTCCCCGCTCTTCCACCCCAACCCTGTCCCAACACCCCCGACTGCCATACACAAAAGCCGACTTGAACATCTGTGCAGCTATCCAACTGTGGCTTTGTTTGCAGCTGAAAACACTTCAAGACCAAACCTCAGTGGGCCTCTCAAACTTTCTCTCAATCTCTCTGAATCGCTTCCAATCTCTCTCAAGCTCTCTCTATCTCTCAATCTCTCTCAATCTCTCTCCATCGCTTTCAATCTCTCGATCTCTCTCAAATTTTCTCTCAATCTCTCAAACTCCCTATAACTTTCTCTTAAATTTTCTTTAGCCTCTATCAATCTCTCTCAATCTCTCCCTATACCTCTCAAACTCTCTCAAACTCTCTCAAACTCTATCAAACTCTATCAAACTCTATCAAACTCTCTCAAACACACACGCGCTCGCTCAAAACTCTGACAGACATTTTGATCAGAGTCCTTGTGGGTACGAGAACACGGCGGGGCGGGATCTTGGGGGGGGTTTGAACTGCCATTCGCACGCCGTGTGCATGTGCTTTGCCACCCGCTCCGCTCCTTGGCTTGGCAATGGGGGTTGGGAAGATGGCTTTGGACAGGATGGGGCGAGGGTTGAGCCAAGTGGGATGGCCAACTTCGGGATCAGAGACTGGTCCTCCATGACCCCTCCCGCCAGTTGTTAGGGTTCGGTGCAGTGGCTCACCTGGACAACCCCCTCCCGATCCTGCTTGATGCCCTCGCCCGTTTCGTCGCATAATGATTGATAGTGTGCCGCAAGTGTCACCCAACTCGCCAGCATGGCGTTGGCCATCATCAGCATCGACCTCACTCGTACGATCTCCCGTCTCGTTTCGCTCATACGCCCCAGTGATTCCACATGTTTGGTGCCTACGCCCCCCGCCCCGCCTTGACTTTTCCTCTCTCTCTCTCTCTCTGTCTCTCTCTGTCTCTGTCTCTGTCTCTGTCTCTGTCTCTTCTTTTTTAAAACAACGAGCTATGAAAGCTCGTGTTCGTGCTGATCCTGATTCCTTCGTCCCGCTGATCCGGCTCACCCTTGCTCCCCGTGCTTCCGCCTTTTCTTCCCTCTTCCTCTCCAGAGGAAAAGGTGGTGATCCAGAATAACAGCGACGCCCCCTACAATCTGAAAGGTTTGTCGCCCCTCTAAACCCGTTTTCCTCACACCCTCGCACCCGTGATTCAACCAAAAACCGCAGCGTACCGCTTATTATCTTTCCAACATACGTCCCCACCATCAGATCACTATGCCGAGAACCTCCTCGGCACGGTTCGCAGTGCTCGCTTTGACACCATCATTATCCCGGTACAAGGCACCGTGAGCCTCTACACCGCCCCAGGCAGTACCCAGCCACCGCCCGAAGGCCCAGACGTCCTTTACTTTTTCAACTACGACGATCTTCAACCCCGCGCCAATCACTGTACGGCCGTGCGCCTGCAACGGGCTTTTGCAATCCTTGTTTGCCCTTCCCAGCCCTTGCTGTGCGCCTACCATCCAACTCATGCTCGCCCACTTGTTGTTTGGCTCAGTGCTGCGAGATGCCGGTGATGGCTTGCGTCTGCTAGATCCTGACCATGACATTGTCTGCGAAATCATGTCTGTCGTCTCGCTAGCTCTGGCTTTTCAGTGAATGGCTCGTGCTTTCGTCTGCCACAACCCCACTCACCCTGAGCACATGTTTCATCGGACCCACAGCTCTGGCGACTCGGCAACGATGGATCTGCTTAGTGACAACATTCATGACCCCGAGGTGCTACCACGCACACTCGAGCTTGCTGCCACATGCCACGTACACAACTCACATGCGTGCCCCCCGCCCGATGCCGAAACCTACAGGTGCCGGAGAACTTGGCCGAGTTGAACAACATGTCCATCTCGACGCTCATGAACGCTCTTCATCGTCGCTATGCAGAACAGCGCATTTACGTGCGTCAATGCAGCCGCCCATGAGAGGCCGGGGCTTGACCAACTGCCCCTGGCTGGTCAAGCTCCTGGCATGGGATTTGATTTTTATTTTATTTTTCGGCCCCTCTCCCGCCCTCACCTGCACGGTCCGGGTGGATCATTTAGACCTATGTGGGAGACATTCTCATCGCCGTTAACCCCTATGAGCGCCTTCCCATTTACACACACCACCTCCAAGAGCAGTACAAGGATGCCGCCACCAAGGATTTGCCCCCGCACATTTTTGCCGTGGCTGATCGCGCCTACAACGCCATGGTCTTGAATAAACGCGATCAAACCTTTGTCATTTCCGGCGAGTCAGGGGCGGGCAAGACAGAATCCACCAAGCTCGTGGTCAAGCACATCGTCGAACTCTGCCGTTCCGGCAATACCACTCTTGAGAACAAGATCAAGATGGTCAACCCTTTCCTCGAAGCGTTTGGAAACGCTAAAACCGGTGTGCTTCCCCCATCTTTCGTTTGTTGTTGCTCTCTACGCCGCGTCCGTCTTCCCCGGCCTCTGCTCATGGCAGGCCACTCGCACACGCGCTTGCAATTGCTCTGCAGTCATGAATGACAACTCATCCCGCTTTGGCAAGTACCTCGAGCTCAAGTTTGATGAAACGGGTGGCGTCTTGGGTGGTGAAATGCTTCACTATCTGTTGGAAAAGTCGCGTGTCGTCACACGCAACGCCGGCGAGCACAACTTTCATATCTTCTACAACTTATTCGCCGGTGCTCAGCTTGAGGGGCGCAATGACCACTTTGCTTTTAGCTCCCCCAATTCTCACCGATACCTGGCCGGTGGCCCCTCGGATGATGAGATCCTGCATGGTCATCGCTACACCACTGAGTGGCGTGAGGTGATCGAGTCCATGCACTACGTCGGCTTTGCCAGCGCGGACATGAATTGCGTGTGGGATCTGCTTGCCGCCATTCTGCACCTGGGCGATGTCACGTTTGCCGACATTGGCAATGACGCAAGCAAAATCACCAGTAGCGACGACATTTTGAAGCGCGTAGCCCGCCTGCTGGCCATCAACGAGACCAACCTGCGCAAGGCTTTGCTGCATGTTGTTCAGCACACGCGCGGAGAAACCATTATCAAAAACTTTACGGACGAGAAAGCCGTTGACAACCGTGATAGCATGGCCAAAGCCATTTACACCCGCATCTTCGACTGGGTTTTTCGTGTGGTCAACGAGCTCTTGGATGAAGAGCACGCCAGTGGTGCACACACGCTGGGCATGCTGGACATTTTTGGCTTTGAAAACTTCAAAGTGAACAGCCTCGAGCAACTATGTATCAATGTCACCAACGAGCAACTTCAGGTCGGTGGTATCAATGGAGCTGATGTCATGCACACGACCCTTCCGAACAACCCCTCTTTGCACATTTGTTTGGGCTTCGGTGGAGTTTATATCAACACTCATGCCATGCGCGGTTCCACTCTGCAATAGAACTACTTCAATCGCCACATTTTCATCATGGAACAAGACGAGTACAATGCTGAGGGCATTGATTGCTCTCGCATCGACTTTCCTGACAACCAGCCCACGCTTGATCTCATGCTTCAGGTACCATCACTCTTGATTCGTGCCACATGCCTTTATCCTCTCTGCTTCGTCTGGGTAGTGTTTCTTCTCATCCGGGTCTCATTGTCTCGCTGAAACCATGTCTGTTTGTCTCTTTGGGCTTCTCTTCTTTTCGCTTTTTGCTGTTGCCTTTGGCCTTTTGCAACCTCTTGCAGAAAGGCACGGGTGTGTTTGGCATTTGCGATGAGCAAGCCAACTTTCCCAAGGCCACGGACCTCACCTTCACCCAAAAGTGTACCGCGGGACTTTCAAACCATGCGTCCCAAAGCTACAAGGCACCTCGCTCAGAGCGGGATCTCAAGTTTACAATCTCTCACTACGCTGGCCCAGTCGATTACACGGTGCGATGGCTGGTGACTCGCGGAAGTTTTGGACCGGCGTCGGGCCGCTAGTCCCCTTCATGTACCCATCTTACCCCCTGATGGCTGATCATGGCGTAGACCGAGGGCTTTTTGGAGAAAAACCGTGACAAGATCTCCGAGGATGTCAAGCAACTGCTGCACAACAGCTCACACAGTCTTTTGGCCGCCATGTTTGAGGAGGATCCGAGCCGGGCTCCGGTGCCCGGGACGATGCGCAAGCAACCGACCGTTTTGATGGGCTTTAAACGCAGTCTCCAGGACCTGGTCAAGCGCCTTGACGCCTGCGAGCCGCATTTCATCCGCTGCATCAAGCCTAACGCCACACAAAAGCCGGCCAACTGGGATGCCGAGCTTGTGGAGCGTCAACTCACCTATGCCGGCGTACTGGAGACCATCAAGATTCGCAAGGTTTGCCGTCCTGCCCTTGCGCACGTCCTAGCATTGGCCAAGCTCGATCAAACTTTCCCTCTTCTGACAAGGCGCACCGGCCTTTTGCAACGTTCTTGTTCCCGTCAACATAGATGGGGTATGCATTTCGCATGCCTTTTGCACAATTTGTTCAGCGTTTCAAACTTGTCAAATACCAGTTTTATGAAGAGCCCGAGGAGAGCCCGCAGACGTGTCATGAGATTGCCGAGTCTGCGCAGCTCGACAACTTCCAGTTGGGCTCAAACAAGATTTTCATGAAGTACCATCACGCTGAAGTCTTGAGCAAGGAAGCCTCAAAGCAGTCTGACGCCCTAATCTTTGTTCAAAAGGTACGCTTGCTGTACTTCAAGCGAACAACTGCAACTAGCAGCATCCTCCTCCGAGCTTGACATGTGAGCTCACGCTCGTGACTGGCCCTGATTCTTGTCGTTTGTTGAGACAGATTGTCAAAGGCTTCATCGCTCGTCAGCAGTATGTAGCACAGGTCGAAGCCAAGCGTCGTCAAGACGCTTTGGTCACCAGCTTGCTTGGCAGCATTGATGTACGCCACGGTCAACCCACCCCATGCACCGCAGGCCTGGCGACTGAGCCTGGATTGCTCCAATTCTGATCATGCTCCTTGTCAATGTACCCTCGCAGGCATCGTCCTTCCCAGTTGCAACTCGCATGCAGCAGCTCGCGCAAGAGGATGCTCGAAAGCTTGCTGAACGCCGCGAGTTTTTGGAACGCCTCCGCCAAGACGTTCGTAGGCCAAGTGCTGTGCTGTCCTCGCCTGCAATGTCTTGGCCATGCGACAAAAAACATGGACTTACATTCCTGCTTTCTACCTTGTTTTTGCTTCCACAGCAAGCCCGTCGCGCCGAGGAGGAGGCACGTCGAGCCGCCGCACTCAGCATGGCACAGGCACGGCGTGCACAAGAGGAGCCACGAAAGCGCACAAAACCGACAAATGGCTACATGATTTGGCAACAGAATGAGCACTTTGAGCTGAGCGTGGGTCCCCTTCCACCCCAGTGGCGTAAAGCCTTGGACCCAACAACTGAACGGTACGCACAAGGGATAAGAATCCATCAGGCCACTGATTTCCCGCATATGCTTCTTTCGCACCCCGCATCCGGACCCGAAATCGAGAAGGTCCGTCTTGATATGCTTCCTCACTGTGACTAGGTTCTACTTTAAGGACTATCAGACGCAGACTACGACCTGGATTGACCCGCGCAGTGGCCATCAGGAACATGGGCGCAAGCGCAATCCCCTTGATTGCAATGATAGTGAACTGCCATTTGGATGGGATGAGGGCGAAACGGAGGATGGCAAACAATTCTGGATCAACCATCTCGACGGCAGTCATCACGACGAGCACCCACGCATCAAAATGCAGGAACAGCAAACACGACTCGATGATGCCGAGGCGCGCAATGTCCTGATGACTCAACACATTGTCAATGAAATTCACGTTCTTCGTGAAAAGCAGAGTCGGCAAAAGGCCAAGATCTCCACTGCCACCGATAAGCAAACGCGCGAAAGCCTGCAGCAGCAGCTGGCTTCTATTTCCGCCAGCATTCTTCAGTTGCAGCGGCGCCTCACCGGCGCCAAGGCCGCCATGCGCATCTTGGCCCGATCCTTCGCCGGCAGCCAGACCATGATGGCCTTGACTCCTGAGCAGGCCGTCAAGAAATATGCAAAGCGTTGGAAACGTTTGGCAAGTCGTTCTACCTCCCCTTTGCAACCTGCCATTTCGTTACAAACTCTCACCTTGCCTGGTTCCCGCCTCAATAGGTTTTGAAACGCTAGTCTCGTTATCATAAGCTGGAGAGGCAGGCGAGGCTTGCCCTGCCATGGCGCCAATACATGTTGTTCGTAAATCAAGATACACTGCTTTGTCACAATGTCGTCGAAATGATTTCGAGCTTCGCCCTCATTTCGAAGGGGAAGGTTTTGAGTTGTGTTTTTGTTTTTTTTTCTCTTCTTGCTTGCGGCTCGGAACCGATGCTCGCAGTTCATTGGCGTGTTAATTTAATATGGGCCAGTTGGCCTTGAACTTAGAGAGCTAATCTACTTGGTTTTGACATGCCTGCGGATCATCACAAGAATTACGCGCTGCACTGTCACCGCGATGATGAGACTCAAACCTCAATTTTAATCAAATCTAAATGTTTTTCGTGTTCCGTTCCAAAAACAGTCGTCAAACCAAAGCAAAAGAATTACTGTACATCGGATGTTTGTTGAATCAGAGCAAACCGTGTGCCTCGTCGAGTGCAGCCGGTTTCAACCAGGGTCCACGTGATTGTCGCCACAATGAACGTCGGTGGGAAGGCCAAAACGGCTGCATATGCATGATTGTCGAGTGCGGCACCCTCCGCGGCCGCAACCATGACGTACATGTACAGAGCAAAGTAGACAGTAGCCAGGACCCAGGCAAGCTTCGATAGTCTAGTTCTGGACATCAACTGGGCAGCCAGCACTGCTGTACCCAGTGTTGCTGGAACGTACCAGACAAGAGGCCATGAAGCTGATCCGACCCGCCCAAAGGCGGCAGATAGCGTTGGTATCCAAAAAGCCGATGCTCTCACCAATAGCGTCCGGTACGAGGTACCGCGCTTAACCCATTGGCAAACCAGGAGCACCTTCTGAAGCAAACTTGACGAGACCTGGGCAGGCGAAGGAGCATGCGCAGGCTCTTGACGATCGTAGGAGCGCGCGTCTTTAGTACCACTGCTGTCCGTGTCTGGGCCAGTCAGTTCCCCCGCCTCCAAGTGTTCTCCATCAGAAGAGTTGATCAAATACTGGCGCTCCTCATCCACTGGATCAGGTGGGCACCATCCAACCGAGAAGATAACTCCACTGATAAGTCCGAGCACCACCGCAAAGCCTGCAAGTACAGGACTCGTAGGAAGATAGACAGCCCAAGGTAGCATCAAAAGTGCAGCCACCCAAAGCGGGAAAAACACTGCTCCCTGAATCCAACTGGACTTGAGCCATTTGAGCCACCAAATGGGCAGCTTCTGATAGGCGTGGTAATATCCAAAAGCAAGTAGCATAATCGCAATCAAGACAAACCCAAACAGTAGCCCCGATATGCTGTTCTCATGTGCCTCGCATGCAACGGCACCCCACATACGGTATGCAGCCTTCTCAGCCAGCATTGAAGCTGCAAATGTGTGAGATGAAAGGTGACTTCCACCATCTTGGGCTATTTGCAAAAGTACACAGGTCATCATCAACATGGAGTGATACAGCGGAAACGCCTCTGTCCCAGTTGCTTTCGTAGGTCCAAAGATTTGAGCAGCTGCGGTGCTCAACACGGTTATCATCAAAGCCAAAGCGAGCAATCCAACACTAGCATCTAAGTGGGGCAGACTAGATTCACTGCCAACTGTGCCGACTTTCAAAAATCCTGCACTGTTATTTTCGGAGGGTGGTAGACAAAGCACAGGGCGGCCGCGTGCCGAAAGAGATAGTGAGGCTGTGCCCGCGCCGGCGCGCCCATGAGTATCAACAGGCAAGCAAGAATGATGGCTTGCGTGCACCTCTGTCATAACATGTTGGCTACAGTCTCTGGACGGAAGGACAGAGAAATGACCGGCTTTTGTGGATGGGTACAGTGTCCGTTTGGAAGGATCAACGCGAACATTAGCACTGTCAAAGACCGTCACCATGTCTGCAGGCAGCTCAATGTTGACGGTAGCCTTTGCATCTGCATCTACCAAAGGCACAACCGCTGTGCCAAGGCTTTGCAGCTTGAATGTGTTTGCTCCATCCAGAAGGTGCACCGCACACTTTGTAACTCTCTCAGAGCGTTGGGACCAGTCAATCGTCATCGAGGTCGCTGCATCGGCTGGCTCACTGTACACTTGCAGGCCTGAGCGGTTCAGGAGTAAAGAACGTGCCTGTACTTTGCTGTCAGAAAGTGGAGGGGGACTGAAGACAAGTTCAATGTCTTGCCGAGGCTGCAAGGCAGCCTGGAGAAAGCGAAGAGCTCGTGGCAGCGACAAAGCAGAAGGCTGAGCTGGGAATTTGCCAGAGCAACCACCGTCTGAGGCATTCCAGTGAAGCCAATCATCAGCACCATCGGCTCCAAACTGGTACCTGACTGGAAGTCTTGTGTCATCCAGACAGGCCACGTCCAACTTGTCCAACGTCGGTGCGACCCCTTGCGCAGCAGTTATCATGACTTCCGCTGATTGGCCACATTGGACGCTAAAAACACCGAACAGCGTAAGGTGCCCCCCCGCGCCAAGTGTTAGCTCTGCATTTGACGGCCAGGGCAACGTGTCATTGATGATGAGTGTTTGCTCGGGTTCCTTCTCGGTCGTTTGGAAAGGATCGCTTGGATTGTGACCAGCTGCCATGGTGACATTGACAAGCCAGGATGGCCTGAGATCAGAAATGTGCAGCTTGCGCACAGGAAGGTATGTTGGACCTGCTCCGCCATAAAACACCGGGCACGGCGTATTTATTGCTCGGGCTGCATCTGCTACACCACCTGGAAGACGGGCTGCGAGCTGAGCTTGAATCCAAGCCGAGTTTGGAATTGCAGAGTCTGTCCTCAGCCCATTGGGCTGTTGCAAACACCCTTGCCACAACACGGCCTCATCGGCCCATCCTTCGGGCACAACAAGCTCGGTTCCATTGACGGCAATGATCAGTCCGGCCTCGTGCAGCTGACTCACAGATGGTGCAATTTTAAGCTGAGGAACGGACACAATCAAGGGGGAATCAAGCACGACCAGATCCAGGCCATTGTTGCGAGTGCTGTGACCCTCTACCAGCAATGGCGCTTGGCTGGGAACCCCATTTACAACGAGCTGAGGGAAGGACAATGACGCTGGTCCTTGACGAATGTGAAGTGCTCCAAGGTAGTGAGTTTCAATGTACAGACCGCCATAACGAATGCTCCCCCCGGTAACAGGGCCGGCCGCGCCAGCATTTACGAGCAACGCGCCGAAGTCATCTGTCTGGTTTGCCGTTACAAACTCCAAAGTCAGATTGGCATCAATGCTGGACAGCAGACGCACTGTGCTGCCATTGACGTATGAGCCGAGATTAACGCTGACCGTGGCGTTGACTGGCGGTGGATTGGCATTTGCCAAAAGCGTTAAAAAGCAGCCAGCGCACATCCCAATCACTTCGACACGCGAAGAGGAGGCTAGTTCCCACGCCATGGAAAGAGACTTGCCCTCACGGGTATCAATCACGTGAGGGGCGATGGCGGTTTCGTTGTCCACTTGACTAGTTTGTGAAAGCTGAAGACCTGCATCCGAGGTTGCATCTGCAACCAACGCATTTTCCTGGCCTCGAATCATAACCAGATCCTCCGAGCGCCAGTTCTGCACACTGAGCGCTCCGCCTCCGGCCGAAACGCCTCCGATATCCTGCAAAATGGTCCCAATCAAACTTGTGTGGTGGTCTTTGATAAAAAGGGACAAAGTGTCAGCATCATGATCATCCGTAAAGTCGACAAATCCGCCGTTTAACGGACAAATCACACTGATGTTGTCCGAACCCATGCCGGCATCAACCTGGATTGTACTTTTGTTACACCCAGACGAGAGCACGACCGTGTCATCCCCAGCCCCAGACTGGATGACTGTATTTCCGCAATGATCATTGATCCAAATGAAATCAGGCTTTGGGCCGGTTGTAAAGCCCAGTGTCAAATCTTGTCCGGCCCAGACGACTGGGCACAGTCTCATATTTGCATCAATGCCACACGCTGCCATGCGCGCCATCATTTCATCTGAAGGCAGCTCGTACGGCTGCTTGACCGTGGAATTACGAAAAGGCGCTTGACCGCCGCAACCATTGCCAAAATAAAATTGTTGAGAAGGAGCAGCGGGTCCAGAACCCTCGAGCTTCAATGCTTGCGGTGCCATGGATGGGGTGCTATTTGCTGGGAGTCCAACCTGACAGATGGCCAACATGCCCAACCACATGCCCAGTGGATCCAAATTATCAGAGTTTGACGGACCTGCCGTGATGTTGACGGAACCTGTCACAAGCACGGCTGTGTTCAACGATTCTGCTAATAACGTTTGGGGGCCTTTGTGGCTGACCGGGAAGTGTATTTCGACTTCCGTGGGTGAAATCGGGCTGCGAACGATATCGACCTTGTTTTCGTTCGGGCCAAGATGCAGTGCCACCCAGTCCATGTTTTCAGCCACCAGCTGAAGCACCCATGAACTGCCGTCCGTGCCTCGGATAGAGATGGCCGATGTGTCGCTCATTGACCAAGTCAGTCCCTGAGGCTCTTGCGTAGCGTTAAGAACGACGCTATAATTACCTTTGACACTTGTTGCGTTGTCCGGCTTGGGCGGGGCGATGAGACGAATCAGGCAGTTCATGCCCCATAATTGACCATCGCCAATCGTCACAGTCTGTGTCCCTCCATCGAGATAATATGTATTTCCGGCTGTGTGGGAGGAGCACTTGCTGACTTGATGCGTAAGGTGGCTATTCACCTCTCCATGCGCATGGACCTCCAAGACTGAAAACTGCTCTGATCCACTGACAACAGATTTCAATGAGGCGCTTGCTCCAGCAAAGAGTTGAATCGTTCGCAATGCAATGTTTGCCACTGTAACATGTTGAGTCACGGCCGTCTGGTTGCCACTGCCTAAAGCCTGTGCGTTGCTCCCGCCGACTTGCTTGGCAATGCTCGTGGGTGAAACGTGCACAAGCCCCGCGGAGCTGGCTGGAACTGACATTGTAATGTTGAGGCTATTGGCTTGGCCTTGCGATCCTGCAACATTCAAACTGCCTGCGATTGCATCTAGATTTACATTACAAATGAGTGACCCTCCAATGCCGGTCACCGTAGCCTCTGTTGCGCTTAGCACCGAGTTGATAGAAACGGTTGTTGCAAGCAATCGATGTCCTTGGACTTCAAGAAACTTTGGAGATTTAGCACCCTCAAACCGTACGTTGAGCGCGTCGTCCGCAGCCAGAGGACCGTATTTCGGTCCCCAGAGAGAAACGCCCGTAGCAGCGGCCACTTGGGATAGCACTGTCACAGCTGTGCCTGTCAGATCGATCTCAATGACATCCGAGACGGCTATCAAAATACTGTATGGGCCAATATTGCTGCCACTTGTGGCCAGATGATGAAGTGGCGCAGACGCATCCATTCTGGGCGCATGTTCCCATGCCCCAGCGCTGGTGGCGACCAAAACTGCGCCGCTGGAAAAGTCTGTGACGCTGCTGGCCACAATGTTGACACGAGCTCGATTAAATGCGTCAATAGTAGTAGCACAAGGCGTGCCTTTCAAGCTAACTTCTGCATTGTCCTGAGGAGCCACAAGCCATAACGACTCGCAGCCGTCCTCGAGTCCCAACTGGCCCATGCCACCGCCAGGCTGGACACCAAATGCGTCAATCGTGTATTCGAGCTGTGAGGTCCCTGTCAAGGGATCCTCGTCCGAAAAGGAGAGCACTCGAACGTCCGCACCACGTGGCAGCGTTGCAATTGGCAGAGCCATGTTGCTGGTCTCAAACACGTAAGGTTGGTCGGTGTACTGTATGTGAACTGCAGACAAAGCCTTACCCTGCACCGTTTCTGCGACCGTCATTGCATCATTTGCCTTGGCAACGGCCGTAAAAGATGCTGCTACGGCAGGGTAGCCCAGTCGCGGCGGGGTTTGTGCCAAGCCAGCAAAAAGCTTCCCAGCCTCGCCTGTTTGGTCCATCGCCGCGGCGTTTCTCAAATCGATGTGGCCATTGCTATCCGCAAGTGTTTCTGGAAAACTCGGAGTACGTTTGTGGGAAATGAAATTGTATTGAGCGGAAGCACCTAGTACTTCGCTGCACTTTCGCTTGAACGGAACAAACCAGCACACGTACACGCCTAGAGATATTTGGGCGTAGAAGTTTTGAGTCCTGATGAAGCTATCGCTTAGTTTGTCGCTATTGGCATGAATCACGCGGAACAAAAAGTTGAGCGTTGAATAGCCAGGATATGGGCTATAAATTTCATTGAACATCTCGTAACCCACAGCAAGAGCAAGCGAGGCTTTGAGGAACATTGCGTCTGCGCTCAGGCCAGCTGCAACAGATGCCGATAGTTTCCATGGTTGGACAGGTTTATTCGTCCGACTGTTTACAGTTGGAATATAGGTATCAACACTCAAGCCTGATAAGGCGCCCAATGCACTTAGGGGTTGACGGCTATTTGCACAGACGTAGTATTCCCCCATATCAGCTGATCCCGTGAGCTTAATCATGGCCGAGGCCAGCAAAGGCCCATAAACGCCCAATGGCATTGCATAGCCGATTTCCGCCGCAATACTTGGAAGCGACGCATACAAGAGGAGAGTGTCGCACTGACCGATGGCGGCCACATCAGGCGCCCGCCCTGTCAATGCGTCCAGTCCACCTAGCACCTCACGTCCAACGTAGCCCGAAAGGCCCTCCGCGGCAAGAATGGGCAAGTAGATCCCAAAGTCTCGACGCACAAACACGGCTCCAAAAAAGGACAAAGCGTCACCAATGTTCACTGTACCGCTATCCGAGAAAATATTGAACTGCATGTCGCCTATCGTGGTAATGCCTTGTTCAATGGTAGAAAAGGCTAACGAAAACACCTCCGCCACCCCATACAGCGTTTTGCACGTGGCATCGCTCAGCTGTTCTTTAAGCAATTTTAGCAAATCAAATGTTTCACCCAAATCGTCAAGCATGGCAATGAAGTGGGAAAGATTAGAAAAGGGTGTCGTGAAGACATATGCATACATCATGAGAAGATCCAGTATGGAGACGGTAATCAGCGGCTCAAGGGGAAGAGGAGTGCGCAGCAAGTCCAATGTTTGTCGTAAAAAGCCGATAAAACCGTGATCCATAAAATCGAACGCGCCGCCGAGCTGCTCAGCAAGTGATGCCAGACATATCAATACATCCTCGAAATGAAGCTTGTGCACCACAAGAACACCGTCTTCGATGTCAAATTCGGCAGCAATCGTCGCCTCGATCCGGGGGCTTGCGTCAAAATCTGACGCAGGATCAGAGGCAGGATCAGAGGATAGGTACGCGACAGCAGCACGGCCACCTAGTGATGCCTCAAGCCTCGACGGCACGCCCAGCTTAAGATCCTGTTTCCCATCAGGTCGCGGAGGAGACGCCCAGACTGGGGCTGCAAAGCCTACGTGACCTTTGGCTCCTTGTTGGTTATCGGGGCCAAACTCCACGGCGAGCCGACCAAAATAGCCAGAGAATGACAAGTTGTCAAATTCCGCCTCCAGCTCAATGTTGAGAGCAGGGGCATCGTAAGGCCATCGAATACTAACACCATCAGTGTCGATGGTCAAGTTTGGCCAAGCATGCACCGTAATGTCGGCACAAATCATGTCACTGCTAACATTTTGATGATCTTGAAAGAAGGATGCGTCTTGCCAAGTGCTCAAATCGTGGGTCGAGCTGCACAAGTTGAAGCTGGCAAGAGTTGTATTGGCCCCAAGACTGACGCTCACTTGACATGCACATGGATGCAGGTGTAAATGTAAGGGCAATCGCCATTGGTATGGGTACTGTAGGGGCTTTGGTGCGGGTGGGCAATCTTCCTTGTTCAAGAGGCCTCCGATTTCCAAAATCTTACACAAAAGTGCTGTAAAAGACTCCAGAAATCCCTCAACGCCATCATAAATAGCTACCAAAATGTCCAGCAAAAGCTCCAGCAGCTTCTTGAAAAAGTTTGAGCCGAACAAGCCATCAAGCAGACCATCACGAATTGCGTCGATACCAAAGGTATTAACAAAGGGTAAATTCAACGCTTCGAGGTCTTCCAGCAGAGGTTCCACGGCTGATCTCATGCTATCCTTGAGCTGGCTCTCGAATCGCCCGAAATTGGCAAGGTTATTTTGAATATTGTGTCGCGCGAGTGCAGACATCAGCATATCATTCAAGATGTGTCCTGGACAATTGATGCTGCTCAAAGAGAAAGGCGCATTTGGCCCCGCCTGTTCTTGAAGCGCTTCGAGATACATCACCAACTCATGGCTGTGCATTGAGCCTATATGCAGCGGTGTTCCATCTGGTGCAGTTCCATTGCTTTCGTTGCCAGGTGTGTGCTGCCAGCTCAGAAGCGCAAGTGCATAGGCTGTGAGGTTGTGAACTTCGAGCGTTAGCTGACAATAGTCAGAATCAATCTCCATCAAACCATCAAGCCGTGCCCTGCCCTCAAACAACACGTGCGGCTCTAGTAGCGGCTGTAGATGCAATGGGGTCTGACTGCGAGGAGCTTTGTGATGCGACCGTTTGCCTGGAGAAGGTGGTGGGGATAGAGAATTCAGCATCACAGCCAAAGTAGCTTCCTCAAGAGCAATAGAAGACTGGCGAAAGCACACAGGCAGCGGCCCCATGTACAAGCAGGCGTCTCCCACAAAGGCAAATGAAGCTGAGAGACTCAGATGTGACCCTGGAGCAAACCGCACAGGCATTGTTGGCATGGACAGGTCACCACAGTCTTCTCTGGCATTTGATGCTCGCGGATCTAGTGAAAGAGATACCGTTGCATTTATCCGCACATTGCCAAACATGGACTCGGAAGGCAAAATGCTCACGCCTTCCGGGAAGCTTGACTCGTTCAAAAAGAAGGCAGTTTCAAATGCCACCGTCGTCGGAGTCGTTGCATTCAGATTATCTGCGGTCAGCCACAGCTCGACTGTGTTGTTTGAAAAAGTCAATGCAGACGCACCACCTCCACATATCAACGGAAGGCTCAGGAATGAGGACAGCTGTATGCACAAGTCATCCAGGGTGGCATAAGTCAATGCACAGAGGGACCCAGCAGCATTTGCAAGCGATGCCGACAAAGCATGATCCAGTGGCTTGGCCAGGGAGGCTGTCAAGAAAGGCAATGCGGTTTGCGCCAACTGCTGCCGCCCCGCCTCAGCCGAGCTCTGTGCCAAAGTCCGTGCTATCTTGCATGGCAGCTGAAGATCTGCAAGTAAAAGGCTTTGAAGGGCCTGCCGCCCCGAGCCCGTGCCATTCTCAAACGACACTTCCCAAGATAGGTTGGTCGCCAAGGCATACAAATGAGACCCGGCTCGCTGTGAAGTGCCAAACAAAATGGCATCAAGATGGCTCGATGTTGGAAGTGTTGCCGCAACTCCTGCATGCATCTTGATGTCAACAGCTGCCAGATCATCTGCCCCTACAGCTGAAAGACATGGCCTGAGCCCTTGAATCAGCTGCTCGCCATGAATGTCAACCAAAACTTCCAGGCCAGCCATGTCCAGCATTGAGGGTTGAGCCACTGCCCTGATAGCATCCTCAAGCCGGGTAAGCGATGTGGCCGAGCTTTGCTGAACAGTAACATTAAGTTTGGCACTACCAGCTAAATGCCTGGCGCCCATGGCAATAGGCCCGACAGTCACATAAGCCCTTTTGGTATTGTCCGGCATTTCTACCTCAACATGGCTAGCCACACGCAGGTCTGAAACCATCATGGCAAACCGAGGAGGGAAGGCTGTCATTGTCATGCGAAGACCATCCAGGGTGCTATTATTCAATTGAAGGTCCTCTGGTATCAGCATGGCGTCGCCGTAGATACTAGAGTTGGCTAGAGTAGGTGTTGCAATCAGTTGAACTTGAAGCATTTCCGGTGGCGGACCGGAGAGCCTAGTGACACGTTTGAGGTGTCGCCAATCTTGATACTCGGAAACATCACAGCGCAGTATTGTGCGCAACTCGGTTGGAATGGCAGCCCGGAGTGCTGGGCAGAAAACTTCTTGGACCAGTGAGCCATTGGGGATGTTGAAGGAGATGTTGTGGTTCCAGCTGTCAAGGAGTACACCCCCTCGAGCGCGCAGAGCCGTTTTGAGAATCAAGCTCACGTTGCTGCTGTTGGGCGCTGTCAGGCTTACATTCAACGGCAAGGACAGAAGCACAATACTTCCGTTGACCACTTGTGGCGGCGTGTCAAGAGCCACTATCAGGGGGGCCGTCGAGAGAGAGACTGTCACCTCGGCTGGGGCATAGTTCTGGGGTGCATCGGCCGTGTTCTTGGATCGGCGCCGCATGGTCCTATTGAAAGGGCCGCCAGTTGGGCAAATGGCCTGTCCATTTGTTCCTTGTGCTCCGCCAAGTAGGACCCGCAGTTGCCCGCTGCTTGCCTCCAACTCGGTTGCTCGCGTGAGGTTTTGCGCGTAGGTGTAAGCGGGAAGTTGTGCTGGGGGCAGCTGAACAGCTGAAAACGCTTCAGGATAGTAGGGCCTCAAGTCTAGTGTGACGGCATCTGAGAATGGAAAAAGGCTGGCGGCATCTTTGGCCGACACAGTTGTTCGCTTTACAGCCGGCGTGCGCGCCGAGGAGTCGATCAGACCTTGTTGCAATTGTGCACAGCTGGTCCAGGAGGTGCAGCTTGGAGCAGTATTGTTATCGTTGTATATGCGTCCTTGAAGGCCGTCGAGTACATGAGTTGCTTCAGATCCTGGAACTATTGTAGAAACTGTCAAAGGTATCAAGCCACCAGGGTGCGCAATTTGCAGAGATAGACTGCTGAGCTCGTCGCAAGCCCCGCCAAAATTAACCACCGTGTTTGACGTAAACCTTAGGATATCACCAACTCCGCAGCTTTCCAGTTGTGCGTTTAAACTTTGCACCAAGTGGGTGCAAGAACTATAATCCAAGACGGCACCGCCTTCTTCGAGAATGCACTGAAAGCTGGAGGTGGGCGGCATGGTTGGCATGCTATCATCGACCAACGTAACGTTGAGAAGCAGTTTGGCAACATTGCGAAGGTCAGCTGTTGCCACGGACTTTGCTATGGCGACAATGGGCTGCGGGATAGCAGGTCGTTGCAAAGCTGATGACAGAGCTGCAGTCAATTCAGCTGCTCCCTGAGAAAGATCGTGGTAACGGCTAGGGTCCAGGCCAGGCGCTACTGGCGTGTTTGCTGAGCGAAGGAGTGTTGCTGGCAGTCCAGCCAGTGACTTAAACTGGGCCATTGCTACATCTGGGTCGACGCCTTTTCTCTGTTGCAAGCGTGGGAATGCCAAATCTAGCGCCGTCGCATTACTGCCAAGCGACGATATCGATGCCTCGAGATTGACAACTTCCTCCGATGACAGGGTCGCATTTATGGATAGCGTAGCTTTGGAATTGCTGTCAGGCATGCCATTTGCGGCTGCAAGAGCAAGTTGAAACTCTGCAGTCATTGCAATAGCTGTCTCCATGCTGAGATGAGCTGCCAAGTGTAGGCCCCCAATGACAGTGGAGGCTCGGCGCAAGAGACTAGCAGTCGCTCTTTGACCTCCAGCGCTGGGCCCTGTTGGACTGAGATCCAAGGCTAAAGTCAGTGTTGTGACCAAGGGTACCACTAGATTGAGTCGTTCCGTCGACAGTTTGCCCGCCCAGGGTGTCGTGCTTGAATCGATGCTCAGAAAGGTATGTACGCTCACGGCAAATAATAGGTCAACTGACAATAAACTCGTCGCGGTCTGCACTGGATCGGCACCTGGTTCAAGGCCTGCTGCCACTAATGAGGCGCTGACTTGAACATAATACGCGGAGCTATTTCCCAGGAGCTGTGCCAAGATGTGCTCGAGAGCAGCCTCGGCGCTGGGCAGATCTCCGTTGGATATCGTCAAAGCTTCAGTCAAGCTGTCTCCTACCAGCGAAGAAAAGTCTGAAGCCTCCAATAGGTTCAGGGGACCTAGGTCATTGTACTGGGACAACTGCAGACCTGTGAGTAGGGAGGTTTCCAGTGGTGTGCTGATTGCCTTGGCAGTGTCGCTCAGGGCTGTCGGAAGCGTCGTCGTTGGAAGAGAAGCTCTTCCTCGGGGGATGGACAATGCTCCAGTCGACAATGCACGAGCTGATGTTCCAAGCGCTGGAAAGCCAATACTAACTGTGGGGCGCTCTCGCGGGGTATGAGCAAGGTCAAGCGTGGCGTTGAGGTCAAGGGCCCAAAGAGAACAATTCCTTGCATCTTCACCACAATTGTCATGAATGCTGCGCCCATATGACGGAGCTTGCAAAGCGAGCATGGCGTGCACCTCTTCGGCTTGCACATGAGCAGTGGGACTCGGATCAGTCAGACACGGAATCATCAGCTCGGCATAAAGGGTGTAAGACAAGTCCGCTTGAGTGTCGGCATCAAAGTCAAGCTCGCTTGCCGACAGGTTCAGAGCTCCCAAAGAGACGTTGAGCCCTTGAATTTGCTCATTAACAGCTTGTAAGGTGGCGTTGAGGTTGCTGGAAGGATCATCGTAAGAGTCCTTGCCAGTGAGATGAACAGTGATGAAGAGTTGGTTGCTGGGCGTGAAGCGCGGATCGAGATCTGCGTGGGCGGTCAGAGCGTCAAAGAGACAAGATCGCAGCGTGGGCAATGGGGCCTTGGCTGCACACCTGTCCCAAATGAAGCTGGAGTTCAAATCTGGAAGGATACGGAAGATAGCTCGTCTGAGCGGCAGGGCGTCCGAGGGTACCAACGTCAGGAGTTCCTGTCGCAGTGCGTCAAAAATTGACTGCAAGCGCGTCGCGTTGGTTAAAGCGAAATCAGGTGCTGGCGCGCTCGTAGCATCTGATGAGAACAGTTGCGCCGGTTGCAATGCAACAAGAGGGGCATCGGCGTTGGCTGCGCTTGTGCTGCCATTGACTAAAACACCACTAGCCCTCCCGGAGATTGGCACATCAAGGGACTGTAACATGCTGACGGCCAGAGTTGGGGCTGCAAAAAAGGTGACGGGTAACCCTGTTATCTTTTGGAGACGGGCTTCCAAGGACAAACTGAGGAATGGCCTGTGCTCTGACATTTCAGGCCCAAAAGTCGTGCCGCAGTCAATCGTCACGTGAGTCGCAAATGAAAGGCCCATGAAGATAACTTGAGCGCTGGAATGGTTGACGAAGAGCGTGAGGTCGTTCATGGTCTGCAGTGCATCAAAAAGGGCGCTCTCGTTTCTCAGCCTGGGACATGGGAGGGAGGCGTTGATCAATGCGCTGTCAAGCATCAACTCGAGCTGTGTGGCGACATCAGCAGCGAGACGAGATCTCTCCTCAGGCTCTGCAAGCAATACGTCAATTTGCAGTAGATCGCCTGGGGCAAGCACTCCATCGTAGCTTAGAAGCCCACCAACACCGACCAGCCGAGGACTTGACGGATCTGGTAGGGCGCGTGGTAGGAGAGCTCGGGCCGCCAAATTGAGGGTAGATGGGCTATCCCAGAGAGGAGCAAGCCAGCGAGGGGGCAGGTTGAGGATGTTTAATGCCGCGGATGCTGGTAAGAGCGAGTTGGGATGAGAATGAGGTGCTCCAAGACCAGCTACAATGAGAGCTGGTAAACCATCCATGGCGTTAATATCGGTCAGCACGAGCTCGGTAGCATCCGCTTCCTTAGGGGGCTCCAGCTTTGCTTGCCAAAGTGCGATGGGGCGTGCACCAAGCGGGAAGACCAGCCTGGACTCGGCCCACAAGTAGTGAGGATCCTCGTCAGCCACGACATAACCAGCCATGGACCCACTCAAGGTGAGATTGACCTCGAGGCGCACGTGAACCGCCACGCTTGCCGTGGAGGCATCAAACTCAATAGAGTAGAAGGCTTGAAAGGTGGCGTTGGAAATGTGCGCTGTTTGCAGGTGCCGATGGTCAATCGGCTGGGTAGGGCCTTCCACAAAGGAGCAGTGATGAATGGCGGTCGGAGCCACGGTGAAGCTCGTGTTGGAAAGCTTGGCTGCCACAGCCTTGTCGCAACCCGTGTGGAGGTCATCAAGATTAGAAAGTTCTGGGCAAACCAAAGAATCAGTCTGTGGCCCGGCGGGCAGTGATGCCCGTAAGCTAGCACAGACACTCGATGGCAGTGCCAGCCCATTTTCAAAAGTCAACGCCAGCGTCAGGGCCGACACGAGGGCCAATGGTAATCTTTTATGCATGGTGGCTGATGAACTCAAGGTCACGTCTGCCTATGCGTTGAATGCGTCGTTTTTTGGCCCACAATCACAACAACAGCGACAAAATGATTGACTTGCGAACATGCGAGGGTCAAGTTGATCACTTCTGAAGAAAAAGAAAACGGCAGTAGCGATACGGTCCTTACCACATCAACAGCAGCAAACACACACTGGATATGACACCGCGATCGGATAGAAACAAAGATGAAGGCCGTCTTGCGGCGGCAAGCCTGAGCTCATAATCCCGGCTTGATGGCCGCCTGCTATAGGGGCACGAATGGGAGCTTTTGGTAAATGGAAGGAAGGCGATTTTACACCATTGCTAGACACGAAGCGCCTCGTTCAGACTTCAAGGTAAAAAAAAAATGGCGTTCCAACCATCACCAGCAAGCGGGATTTGAATTCTAGAAGGTTGGTTGGTACTGATCTTGGTGGTGGGGGTGATGCGTTTCAGAATTTAAAAACTGACCCAAGCTGCTTGCATTGTGTGGCACGCACTGCTAAATGAAAGCAGACTCAGAGTTTTTTTTTTCCTCCAAAAAAAAATGACTCCTGCGAGAGACTCTCTCTAAACTGGCGACTAAGACTGTATCTGCATCGTCATGCCTATGATGGAGATGGCCACAGCTCTTCAGACCCTCACGAAGGCATTGACATGTGCGGGAGTCTTGTTGATGTTTGAACGAACTGGGTATTCTTGCTCATGATGCTCGCAATGTCGTCTGTGCATACATTGATAAAGGGGCAATGGGATTCGTTCAAGAAGTCTGCTTAACCCGAGTTACGTATGTCCGAATATTTGGAAAAAAAGAGACATCAGAGGAACGTGTAATTTTAAATTTTACTATACAGAGTGAAGCTCGTAAAATGTCAGACTGATGGTGTGGTCTGACATTTTCACCGTTACAACTTCATCGCACGAGAAAAAAATGGCGCCGAGTTTGAAACAGGCGACATCGAAGACCCCCACGCTGCTGACCAAATGGCTGAGGGCAGCCCAGACGCGACGGGCCCCAGATGCGCCAGGGAACAGGACGACGCCGCCGCCGTCAGAAAGTCAGCAGGATTCAACAGCCGCGACGCGCGCTGCGGCTGACGCCGTGTCGGTCACACCTGCACGTCGCACGGTCAAGCTCGATTCTCTGGGTAGCAGCCGGCAGGTCGAGAACCCCAAACCCTCAACAGAAGAGGATCATGGCTCTTGGCCTGCAGCAAGTGAATCCACCAAGATAGTTGCCCGCGATACTGATGCGATCAAGGTCCAAGAAACTGGCGCTCCATCTATTTTCACGGCCCCAACGACGGCTGACGACCACTGCGGAGACGACCATCAGGAGTCCCCTGATGCGGTCGTCGCATTGCGACACGATGGTCAGATTGAGATGAAGAGCGTTGCTGCTGAGATGGAAGGCGAGGCTATGGAAGATGCGGATCAGGATGACGACGACGAAGACGACGATGACTACGAAGCACGGCGCCTCGCCAACATTCAGGCCAACCAAGCGTGCGTGTTTCCTTCGCGGACGCCTCGTCACCCCCTTGACCAAGCCCGCTGATAAGTCGTCTCTTTTCACCTGTGGCTCCTTGGCTTGCTTGATTTGTCCCACTGAACAGCTTGATGCAGCAGCTAGGCCTCCTGTCGGCAGCCACGGCTCTACCAATGGCCCACCCAACCCCATCGCCGGGCACTGTAAACGGACCGAAAAAGCTGCCCAACCGAAGCAGGAGCAAGCGTCGGACCTCTGGCAGCACGCCATCGCCGCAGCCTGTGCGAAGAAGCCGACGGCTGGCCGCCAAGGAAGCTCGCCCCATGACAGAGGAGGACGAAGCGACCCAGGCTGCTCTCCTGGCATACGCCGGCCTGGGTGCCACAGAGGAGTCGCCTCGAGCCCCGTCCAACGAGGGCGCCAACCTGGCCGCCATTGCTCCCATAGGTTAATTGTATTTCGCTCGTCGGGGCAGCGTTTGGTAGCTGATGCGCCGTCTTGGAGAGGACGCCAGGCTGATCTCTTCTCACTCACCTCTTACATTGTTCTTTAGGCACGGTCATTACCGGCGATGCCCTGGTCGCAGATGCCGGGCTTGTTCTGAAGGCACGTGCTGCTCTTGAGCCCGACGAACAGCATCTTCTCTGGACAGGCCACAGGTTGGTGCACGTGTTTCTTGCTGGCACATTGAACAGTCAACGCATCAGACATGCCGCAATTGTCATTGCCGCCCCCACACGCCCAGATACTGACGCGCGTCCGCTGAACCATGGCCAGGCATGACGTTTATGCCATCGATTCTTTGGAGGAGCGGGGGTGTGTAGCCATGGCTGGCAAGGAGGGCCGCATGTCTTTGTGGCATCGACCAGATGCCAGCGGTGCCGCCCCCGCCCCGTATACGGCTGCGCCTCGCCTGTCTTCCAAACTTCATGGCCGCTGGATCTCCGGCGTGCGGCTACTTTCCACATCGGACCAAGTCTTGGCTGCGACCAGCTCTGATGATGGAAGTTTGTTGCTGTCCGAATTGGTACTAGATCCCGAGGCTCCGTGGACGTGCCGGCCAGTGCAGCGCAGCACGGAGGGTCACACCGCTGGTATATTTGGCCTTGATGCCTGGGCTGGCACAAGCTTGTGCACGGCCTCCAAGGATGGATGCGTTGGAGAATGGGACATTGGCCCCGCCAGCTGTCGTCTAGTCGCTCAGCGAGAAGTCTCAAACGCTGTCCTGAAATCCGTGAGGTATGTCCGAGCATGCGCTTGGCATGGGCGCAAGACCTCTTTTGTCGTAGTCCACTAGTAATCACCGGGCTGTCGTAGTCCACTTTGACCCACAAAGCGAGACTCACGGCCATTTGGAAACCATTATAGCATGCGCGATGGCAATATCTATGCGACCGCCGGCAACGACAGCTCCGTGTATATGCTGGACCGGCGGGCCACAGACCCAACTGGGACCTTTGAGGGGGCTCATGCGGGTGTGGTGGCCTCGGTTGCCTTTAATCGACATCAACCAAATTGGCTCGCCTCGCAAGGTCAGCCGGACTACGGTCTTGTGGCTGTGCACCGGCTGTGCACCGGCTGGCAATTTCCGGTTGCTTGCCATGTGTGGGTGTGTCGGTCTTGTCGGGGTTTTGTACTCACCGGTGCAACGTTGCTCGCAGGGTTTGATGGTCTCCTCAAGGTCTGGGATATGCGCCAGTTGCAGGAACCCGTCTTTGCAACCACCAGTCACAATGGCAATGGGCATGGCAAGCCACAAATGGCTGCACCGCACTGGATTACGCCTACCGAGTTGACAGTGGCGGGCACGAAGAGCCTGCAGCTCACGACCTTTGAGATTCCAACCGGCGTTTTGACGCGCCGCGTGCACCTGGGCTTTACACCCACGGCCTTTACGCCCTGTGCTTCTGGGGTGCTGGCGGCCGCCTCGCGCAATGCTGCCTGGCTCTTTCAGCATGGCACAGAAGACTCATGAGGAGGCAAGCAGAGTTTGATAATTTAGCAATCTTTTTCCACGCTTTTTCCATCAGTTTCAGGAATGTTTGAGTTGAGACATGTGGACAAGTGACTCGCAATTCTTCGCCAGCAAGCGTACTGTTCGATTTTCATCAAAACCACTAGGCAGGGGGCCATCGCTTGGGGTCGCTTGTCAGGCCAAGCAAAGGGCAGCAAGCAAAGCGACGAAAAATGAAAAACAAATCCCAAATTCGTCTGCAGACGTGTTAACTCGAGTAACATTCGAAGCAGCCATCTGCAACACAGGTCACTCTCGTCCCCGCTTGAGAAACCAAAGAAATTACTAAGGCAGTGATTTGGCCGATCTCCCAACCCCATACGCAAGTCTGCCCTTGCGCCGATTCTCCGCCAGAGTCCCTCCTGCTCCTCCTGCACTGCCCTGGATCCCATGTCTTCTCTGCGATACCCATTGTTCATCTCGCTCACATTCTCTCTCACTCTCTCTTCTTTCTAAAATTTGCTTCTCGATTTTTGACTCGATTTTTTTTTTTTTTTTTTTGGGTCCAACCTCAAACTCCGAGGGCAGAGGGGGGTGCCTCTGCGCATTTGGGCAGTGGCCTCTGCTGCATCAGTGGTTGCTGGAGGGGCAGTTGCATTGGGCCTGGCTGGCGGCACGTGGGCGTGGGGAGTTTTTCCTTGAGCTGTGCCGAGAGGGGGTCGAGGCAGCTGGGCAAGGCAGCTCAGTAAAGGGGCTCGTGCGCTCTCCCCGCAGTGCCGCTGATTCAACCAGCGCCATGGCATGGTTCAACAAAAAGTCACGCGGGGGGGACCACATGTACCGCCGCTCCAATCATGCATCCGCGGATCAAAGCCTGGAGCAGATTGAGCATTGTCGCATCCAGCTTTCTGGCATTGTGGACGACATGTATGAACAGCTGGGCGAAGACAGCTTCATGTTGACGTCCAAATTCTTCCTCTCAGGTTGGTCAAGTCTGTGCCAGCTTTGACCACCACCCACCGCGCTCACCTCATATTGTCGGTTTCCTTTTTTGGTAACATAGTGGCCCACAACATTGTTCGCAACCCCACTTCCAAAGTCTATCGCAAGATGAAGACCACATCCCGCGTTCGTGCCTCTTGCTCTTTTTCTCGCTTCGTCCGATCGCTGTGATGCTGATCGAGTCTTCTTGCCGGTCTGATGGGTCATACCTCCCCTAATGGGTCCTGGCTTGATGCCACAGACTGTAACAAAGGCCCTGCCAACTGCTCCAGTTCAGCAGCTGATGCAGGTGATGGGCCTCAAGCCTCATGTACGTATCCGCACCAGCATGGTCGAGTCCACGCACACACACACACACACACACACACACACACACACACACACACACACACACACACACACACACACACACACACACACACACACACACACACACACACACACACACACACACACACTTAACTATATTGATCTTATATGGTTTGTGAGCACAGACGGAATACTATCTGCTCGAGGGGGAATTGGGAACTTTTGAACTGGAAAAGCTACGCATGGTAAGCGGCTACTATCCTTTCTCAAGACGAGGTTGTCTGCTGCTGCCAAGCATCGTTCGCTGACCATCTAAACTTGGACTGGCTTGGCGCGCAAATAGACCGAAGACACGCTCATTGCCAAGCGCAAGTCCCTCAACTTGCTTTCAGCCTGGGAGCTACCGCTGCAAGATCTCGTGCTAGGGGATCGAATTGGCGCTGGCAGGTGTGCCTCGACTCGCTTGCGGTCTGAGCATGGGCTGTTCAGGCCACTCTTATCGCTTCTGCTGCGATGCCGCTTTCAGTTTTGGTGATGTGCGCCGGGGCACCTTGAATGATCGACCAGTGGCGGTCAAGACGCTCAAGCCTACGGAGCACAAACAGCTGAAGCAGGACTTTTTCAACGAGGCCGACATCATGAAGTAAGAGTGTGCTTGCTTCAACGCGTACCGAGACAAAAGACAAATCCTTGTCCCGCGAGAAAATTGGCTCTTGATCAAAAGCGGCACACGTGCATTGACTTTTTTTGAGATGCACCTGCGGCACCGTTGTAGAAACCTCAAGCACAAAAATATCCTAAGCTTGATCGGTATTGTCATGAACAAGACCCACAACATTATTGTCATGCCATTGGTACCTGACGGCAATCTTCAAGACTTGTTGCGGAGTGCACGCTTCACCAACAGGTGAGATCGCTTTTTCCCCAAACATGAGGTGTCAAATTACCAAGCGCTCATGGCTGCCCACGCCTCCCTCCCTCCGAATGTCGTGCTTTGCAGCGAGTTGCTGACCAAAGCCACAGATCTAATTGCAGCCTTGGAGTATCTGCATCACTCTGGTTTGAGCTTGTTCCCCATGCGTCGGGCTCAGCATCAAGGACCTGCCTTTCTGCAATGGACGACTTGATGAACCGCTTGGACGTGCCTTTCACATGTAGAGATACTTCATTGCGACATCGCCGCGCGCAACGTGCTCGTTTCTGGAAATGGTGAGGTATCCGGTGTCAGGCCTAAATTGGCCCGGATCATTCTGATCGAGTGTCTCATTCAATTGCCCTGGCACTCTGTGATGCATAGGCCAACTGTTGCTGGCCGACTTTGGGCTGGCCCGGCATGCCAACGTGCCTGAGGAGTGCGACGTTTCCAAGCGTGTCTTTCCCATCTCCGTGCGGTGGTCAGCACCCGAGGTTTGGCAAAAGCGTCTCATGTCCAAGAAAACCGACATGTAAGCATGTCCAGCTCGCGTGCTGGCAGTGTGTGCTTGTCTCCTGGAAATGTTCCGGTGGAGTCTGTCTACACCAGCCCAGCCTCATGCTGTGTTTGGGCACAACTCTGGCAGCTGGTCTTGGGGTATCTTGTTTTACGAGTGCATGACAGGAGGCGCAGTTCCCTATGTCGAGTGGAAAAACAAGGAAGTGCGCGATCAGGTGTCAGCTGGGTATCGTCTTCCGTGTCCACAGGGCTGCCCACCCTCCTTTCACGCTATCATGCTCGCCACCTGGCATCCCAACGCCGAGGAGAGGCCACACGCAGCAGATGTAGCACGAGTCAGTTACTCTACAAGCAATTCCCCATTCTTGGCCCAGTCGCGCTTCCTGTAAGGGCACTCACCACCAAGCCTGGCGTTGCTTGATGCTACAGGATATGGTTATGCTCAAGGTGGAGATTGCTCGTGAGGATCATCGCAGGTATTGTTGCCAACGTCTGCTTGGCACTGTGTCAGCTGCGTTGCTGCCAATTGCTTCCAAGTCTCATGGTACAACTTCATGACTGGAGTAGCCGACCTCGAGCATCTACCGACGGCAGCTTGTCCAAGAACGTACGGAAACGGCACTGCGCGCAGCATGACACGTGTTGAAGACGAATATCTATCTCATCACCCTTTGTTAATTTGCTCATTCTCGCTCTGGTCTCAGGTGAGCCGAACATCATCCACCAATAGCATTCAGGCGCCCTTTACACATTTCATGTCAACGCTAGGCATGCGCTCGAGTGCTGCTTCGCTCGACCTCGATCAAGCCGCAGCTTTGGTATGTATCCCTGCTACGCCATCTTTTAGCGAGTAGACTGCGCCGTTGCTCAGCAAATAACACCCCCACCTTGTAGTTTGTGTTCCACGAAGACCTTGACCAATGCCCTTGGTACCACGGCATCCGGCCCATCAAGAATATCAAAGAGGGTACGAGCTCACATCTCCTTGCACAAGGTTGACCCTTGCTTTGACCTCACGTGGTTTGTGCGTGGTGCAGCATCAGAACCTCTCCTGTTGAACCGAGGCGATTTCATTCTGCATGGAACCCACACCCCCTTCCAATACGTGTTGAGCATGCGTGGTGATGTACGTCCACTCGCTCATCTCAGGCGTTCACATGCTGTCAATTGTACGCCGTGTGCTCATCGCATGCGTCTGGTACCTACAACAGGTCCCGGTGCACATCACTTTGACGACGCAACCCGACGGCACCATACGATTCAAGGATCAGCAATATGCCGGCTTGCCCCACTTTCTCAAAGCTTGCATCGAGCAACCCATCGAACTCAAAGTTGATGGCCAGTACGTTCAGCGCTTTCAACCTGCATTGAACACCGCCATTGCAACCGGCTGATGTGCCTCTGATCCACCTTAGAATTATTACGCTTCGTCGTGGGATCAAGATGGAACAGGATGATGATGTACCGTCCATGTCCAAGGCACACCCCTTGTTGCATGACGTTGCCGAGGAAGGAGAGGATGGCGAGGGCTCCGGAGAGGCACCTCTTGAGCCACCACCACAAGCGCGCCCGCGTCGCATGCCGCCGCCACCACCTCCACCACAAGTCCAACATCAAGCGCACCATCAGACACCGCCGCCGCCACCACCTGCCAAGCCTTCCTTTAAGCCAACAGGCGGCGAGGCGCGTCGACCAGCGCCGCCGCCGCCGCCACCCAAACCAGCCAAGCCAAGAACACTTTCTGACCACGGGTCTCCAGTCCTTGCCCGCGAGGTACCCGAACCTCCCCACGATGTGTCCTCTCAGGAATCGAGTGTGGGCGAAGAGGCTATGGCCAACGATTTGAGCGAAGACGATGAGGGCGAAGATATTCAGCCACCAGAGGATATGCCTGAAGTAAGCAGCATTCCGTCCGAGTCAAATCCACTTCCGTTGTTCTCGGTGGTTGTCTTTTGCAAAGAGCTCACACTGCATGCCCTGCGTAGAGCCCTTCAGTCTGGCCGCACGTCTTTATCTGGTACTCGGTACGGCACTTTGATTGTTATTTTTTCTTGCGCTGGCTTTGCTCAGGCACGGTAGGTCTCACCCTGGCCCCGCTTGATCATACGTGCTGTCATTGGGCGCGGCGTGCTTAGCCGGATATCGAGCGAGCAACGGCGTGTGAGGTGTACACAAGTCTGCAGTCCACCGAGCAGATGGGGCCTGAATTTTATCCGTGGCTGGACCAATTTGACTTGGAGTGCGCTCCCGGTCAAGACGCGGAGGCTGCTCGCTTTGAGGTCCTGCAACACGTTGATGTGGGTACAAAACCGCAGGATAGCCCTCCTTCGTTTGCCTTCTCCGCGAGGATGGACTGGATGGTCACGCGCTCTCATTTTGTCTTGTCTGCTCCACGGACATGGCCTTCTGCTTTGTAGGCTGTCGTTGTCATGCTTTCGGAGAAGGCTGTGGCCTTGATGGGCTCAAGCAAGGGACACGATCCCGTGGCGTCGGAGCTGTTGACAGTGATGCGCCTGCATCAGCGTGAACAGCTGGCCATTATACCCATCTTTGTCGGTGCCAAATTGAGGCTGCCTCATCCCTCCAAAGCCGACAAGCACTTTGAGGTCTATGACAGTTATGACCCTGTGCCCCTCAAGCGGGTGCCGCAAAAACGACTCTCCTCTCCTCTGGGCGTACGTGGCGTGGCATCTGTGTGTGTGACCTGCTTTGTAAGCTGGTATGCGGCAGCTTTGACCATCGCAATGCTCATGCTGATTCTCAACGCTCCTGTAGAATGCAACATTGCGTGAAGTTGTCGCGTATATGCAAGATCTTTCTGCCGAAGGTCAGCCTTGCGTCTCCAGCCTGACCACCTTGGTTCATCCTTGGCTGTCAAAGCTTTGCCATATCCTTGATATCTTCTCTCAGCATTTGGTGCTCGGCTTCTTGGTTCAATAGCTTACTTTATTGATCCGGAAAACTCCGATCTGACTTTGATGGCGGAGGAGGTCGTCACCTGGTTTTTGAACCCAATGGGCCCAGCTGAAGATCTGGCAAGCTTGCCACCGCCACCGCCCTCCATGATTTTACCCGAGTTTGGGCACGACTCGCATACCTCGGCATGACCAACGAAGATGGCCTTTGTAGCCTCGAAAAGACTGCGCATCGGGAGAGATTTGTCGGGACAGAGTCCTCGTGTCCATACGGAAGCAGTTGCTCTTCTGATCATTTTGCGCCAGACCGAGGCTTAAGTTATCCAGCGCCACGTTTGTGCGCAAATTTATTCTGTTCGACCAGAACATTTTTGTCAGCAAAACCTTGTGGAGAGTGAGAGACTGAGAGTGTGTATAGAGAGGAGAGAGAGAGAGAGAGAGAGAGAGAGAGAGAGAGAGAGAGAGAGAGAGAGAGAGAGAGCGACCGTTTCTTCATTTTGGCTGGTAAGGAAGTGGAGGGGCAGGCGGCGGGAACGGCAGCGATGGGTGTTACGCTGCCAGCTTGAGGGTGCGCTGGAGGACCCAGGGGAGATTAATACCCTTGTATTTTGTGCCGTGTGGAAGGGGCATAGCGTTGGCCGACACGCCGCCTGTGTCAATGGCAGTGCGGCTTTCTAACTTTACTGTGGTGCTTGTGCAGCTGTTCCAATCCGGCTACTGCAAGGCGTTCCGCTCCATTTAATACGAGAGACGGGGCACCAGCTTGGACTTGTTCTAGGCAGACGGACACAGACACAGTCTCACACACCCGCCGCGCCACGCTCAAGGTGGTGGCGGGAGCGTGGTCTTTTCCATCGCAGGGGCGGTGTTGAGCCAATATCATGCGGCTCGTCACGCCACTCCTCGCCATTGCATGGCTGGCTTCGAGCGGCGACGCGCTCCTGCTACCTGGCACCCTCGGAAATAGCTGTCAATTAGGTCCAAACCAAGCTCAACCTCCCATCGCCCCGATGCGTTTTATGACCACCCGCAGTGATACTCCACAAAAGCCAACAGGGCTCACCATCGCTGGCTCAACCGCCAACATCTCCATCCTCGGTAACATGAGCGAGGTGCGTAGCGTCAGCTCAAGGCACACACAGACACACACAGACACAGGCAGACAGACAGACAGACAGATAGACAGATAGACAGACGGACGGACAGACAGACGCGCGCACACACACACACACCGTCTAGCAGATTGATACTGTCCCTACCTCGCGTGCCTCACTTGCTCCACTTCTCTGCGGCTGCGTGCGTACTGCTATGCAGTATGATATCTGGTTTACCCTTGAGACGGAGCCCAAGCGCCCCGAGGCTCGCGCTTACGCAGCCAGCATTGCTGCTGCTGATCGGTTCGTATTTTCTTCTTAGCAAATCATGCCCTCAACACGGCTGACCATGCTTTGAATCAAGCCTCACGGTCAAATTGCGCCTGCCTTGTTGCCATCAGGCAATCCATGCTGTTGCACGGAGGCTTGGTCCTTTCTGAAGCTCACACCAGCGTGAGCCAGGTTTTCCAGTGTTTCGGCGACGTCTGGCAGTTCAATGCCTCCTCGACGGTTAGTCCTCCTCTTTTAAGCTGGTCATGCCGGCAGTGCTGGTTTTGGTGCCTCACACTTTCTTTGCCAATACCTTTGGTTTGCAGCTGTGGCATCCTTTGGCAACAAACAGCGGGCCTTTGGCTCGAGGTAGGTGTGCGCACCACAACTGCAATTGTTTTTTTGTTTTTTTTTTGTTTTGTTATTTTCCCCCGTTTTTCTCTGGCCCATCCCTCCAGCTGACGCTCATTGACTTGTGCTGGATCAACTTGCGTGCCAATGACTTTGCATGGCGGACTTGACTGGCGCTAGGCTACCATTCAGCGGAGCGGTTGCGTCCTCGAGGGATGGCACACGATGTTATGGTTATCTTTGGTGGCCTCAGCTGCACAGGTCCCAGTTCGGGTGCGGCTGGGGAAGGAGATCCCGATATTTTGGACAACCGCCAGCCTCTGGGTGATGTTTGGCAGCTGGACTGGCTCACTGGGTCCGTACTATTTAGCTTTTGGTGCTGTCGCCCACAACTCGGGCCCGGGCGCCCTGGTGCATATCCACCTATAACTATGGTTATTTTTGCTCCCTAGGCGCTGGACTCGACTCGCAAATACAACCTTGAGCCCCAACGGACCCGGGCTTCGCTATGCAGCGGCATCCGCGTCCTGGCAAAACGTTCGTATCATAGTTTTGTCATTCTCATTTGACGTGGACAGGGTCGAGAGCTGATTTGAGTCGCGGGTGCCTTCTTCTTCTTCTTCTTCTTCTTCTTCTTGACAGGAGCTGCTACTGGTTTACGGCGGTTTCATGGGCCCAACTGGCGATGACAGCGACGGCAATCATACCATGTGGGCCTTCAACGTATCGAGCCGGACTTGGCGCCCACTAGCACTCAGCAGGCCGCCTCTGTACTCAGCGCCCGGCGTACGTGGCATGCCCCTCGGCTCAACAGTTGAAACAGTCTTTACCTTTATCGAACTCACATACTTCTTTCTTTGTTATGGCGCTTGCAGGCCGCAGCAGTCACAAAGTATTTCGACACGATGGTGATGGTGGGCGGCCTTGTACGAAAGCCCCTTGAGGACAACAACCTCGGCATCAGCAACCAAGCTCTAGTTCTAAACCTGACCACGTTCGTTTGTACCAGGAGAGGTGTTTGTGTGTTAAAGGTGATGTGACAGACCGGTGCGCTCGCGCTTGCTGCCATCCATCTCACCGAACTTGTTTTCATGCCCGACCTCTTGGTGATATCTAGCCTAGCGTTTGATTACCCCGCATCACTTCCACAAGGCATTGTCAACAGTATAGCCTTTACCCTCAACAATGACCCCTACGTGTTTGGTGGCGAGCGTACCATGACCGGTGCATCCCTTGCCGAGATTTATGCTTGTGAACTTTACCCAGCTTCAGAGGTCACCCTCTACGTGCGGCGCTATGCAGGATCCGTTTGGGAGGTTGGTGTTCTTCTGCAACGCATGCGAACCTCTGATGCAACAGTCGTACCGGCCCACTTGGCTGACACACACACACGCACACACACACACACACACCTTCTGTCTTTCTTTTTATATGTAGATACAAAATAGTTCATACAACAATAGGTACCTTGAAGGGCTGTTAGGCATGCCCCCAGACCCACGACAGGGCGCCACTGCACAAGTTCTAGAGGTATGTACATCGAACACCCTATCACCTGTTTTTATTTTTTTTAGTTTTTTCGTTTTTTATTTACATGTTAATTCTTCCGAAAGAGACAGAATGGCGTCAACGATACATCATGCCGTCGGGCTCACGATTTATCCTCTTTGACTGCGTGCCTCGCCCAACTTGTGGAATGCATTCGACTCAAAAGGCAACCACAGGTGTCGAGGCCACCGTGCTCTTTGGCGGCGTCAACACCTTTAGTTTGGCGTTCTTCAACGATCTGTGGGCGTTACATTCATTGGGCTCTGATGAATCGAGCTTTGCCATTTGGAACAAGGTGCGTTCGCGCCATGACGCAAGCTTGGCCCAAGAGCCAGCGCTACGTCATCGCTGCAGTCAAGCTCCACTAATGTCGTAATGGCCGTCGGGTCATGCGCGAGAGTTTAGGTGGACATTCCCAAGCGGCCTCCTATGACAGCCGGCCACTCACTGGTGTACCTCAATTCCAATGCCGTGCTTCAAATGGAGGGTTGGTCGCTATCCTACCAAACCCGTCTCCACCTGTGGGCATACGACTTGGACAAACACGAGTACGCCTATTGCCTCCCCGTTGTATTTGCCCATGCAATTGTGTGATTTCAAAACATGTCTTCTCCTTCCTCTTTGTCCTTCTCACCACCATCGCTCACTCGCACCGGGACCTGCTTTGTCATGTTTTACCATGCTCTGTCACCGGTGTGTGTATGACAGGTGGTCGTATCTCATTTCTGCCGAGGACAGCGTTGGCCCCAGTGCACGTGCTCACACCAACGCAGTGGCCATTGACGATGACCTAATGCTTTTGCACGGAGGCGTGTATTCCTTGCGCAACGGAAGCTGGGTTTATCTTTCTGATACCTGGCTTTTCAATCACACCGGTAAGTTTATGCTCGAGTAGCTGTGCCTTGACTTTGTCCTTTGGTCCTCTTTTCTTTTGTCTGGTTTGTTCAGTCATATCCTGTCATGTTGAGTTGGGGCCTCTAGCGCCCGCCGCCTTGCTTGTGGTTTGTACTGGCATTGGTCAAGTCTCACTTTGCTTCTCCCACTTTTGATTCTTCTGCCATACGCTGAATAACAGCTATGCAGTGGATCAACATTTCGCAGGCGGCTGGTGCACCTGCAGTGGCATCAAGTGTCTGCGACTACGTAGAGAGCGTTGGGTTTGTGGTCGCACAAGGCAAAGCCCTGGCTGGGCCAACCGAAGCCATTTACTTGCTGCGTTTCACCAAGACGCAGAACCCCTCAGCACCTTTGGCTGACCTGCATTGGGTTCGGGTTCCTGCCGCGAGCGGAGGAGCCGCCGCACGCTGGGGGCATTTTGGCGGCATTCTCATGGACCCTTATCAAAATCTGGCCCCCGTGCTGCTCCTGGCCGGGGGGCGCAACGATTCGGCCGTGTGTGAAGATGCCTGGCTCTTGAATCTCATACATTATAACTGGACCAGGATCGAGAACACCACAGACGCCCTCTTGCGGCGCGTTCCGCCCGCCACAATGCACGATGCATGTGCAAGCAACTACAATAACCTGGCACGGCGCGTTTTCTCGGCCCATACAGTGCTGCCATATCGACTGCAAGTTGTCGCCGGGTTTGGGGCGCTCATGAGTGGCGGAGTCCAAGTGCCATCGTCCTTGTCGCGATCCGAGCTGGTCTGCTTCGACGACCGCGTTGTGACCTTTAACATTCTTTCGCGCTCGTTTCAATCCGTTTCCGTGGTTGCTGGAAACATGACTGCCCGGGTGGAGTCGAGCATGACCATGATGAGCGCGAGCAATGCTACCATCTTACTGACCGCTGGGGCAGATGCAACGTCCTACCTCGAGGACAGCAGCATCATGATGCTGGGTTGTCCCCCGGGCCATTTTGCCGGCAGCTTTGCATCCGATACGTGCCAGCCCTGTGCGCGAGGCACCTATGCCAACTTGCACGGCTCAACAGAGTGCCTGAAGTGCCCAGCAGACGTGACGACTCTGCATGAAGGTTCTACCAGTGCCGCGGCATGTAACACCTGCGACGACTCAGTCTGCCACCATCACGGGCAGTGCAATGTGATCAACGGGAATGCCACGTGCAACTGCCGCTTTGCTTTCCAATTGTCGGATCGCTGTGAGCTGCCCTCGACGGCACTGATTATGGTGGCGGCCATCCTGGCTGCCCTGATTGTGGGTGTGGCCATCACGGCCATGCAACGACGCGTGCGCCTCTTCCACGCCCGCTCAGAGCTGGCGTACAGTCGGATCGAGGACTTACAAAACGAAGTTGGTGACTACAAACGAACATGGGCCATTGACCATGCTCAGCTCCGAAATTTTCGCCTTCTAGACAAGGGTACCTTTGCAGAGGTCTATCGGGCGCAATGGGGTGGAGAGCTGGTGGCTGTCAAGAAGATGCACACGGCATTGGTTGAAATGCGCATCTGGAACCGCAGCATTACTTCTGACTTTGATCGAGAAGTGCGATTGTTGCAGCGCACGCGGCACCGAAACATCGTCCTATTTTATGGTGCCGGCGAGGACCCAGACCAACGTCCATTTCTGGTTACGGAATTCTGCGAACGCGGATCTTTGCGATCCTTGTTGGTGGATGTCAAAGAGGACCTGCCGGTGGACTTGTGTCTGTCACTGGCCACAGATGCCGCACGGGGGCTGCGCTTTTTGCATCGTCTCAGACCGCCCCAAATTCATCGTGACATCAAGAGTCCGAATCTACTCGTGACCTCCAACTATGTATGCAAGGTATGTATTGATATATGTTTGGCAACAACGTGCATGGCCAAGTGGACGGGATTTGAATGCTGGGTACTTTTGCTGAGCCAGGCTGCTCTCTGACTTGACGGTGCGATGTTGCTTGGCGCGCAGGTGGCGGACCTGGGCACGGCTCGTCTCATCGAGGAGATGGGTATCGAACGTACCAAGCCCAGCGGGGAGGACGCCAAGGCCACCGATTCCGTTCACGTTCGCCACCAATCAATTCAGGTTCGCACACGTTTGTCTCTGCTTCGCCCTCCTCTGCTGGGCTTGAATGGGCCAAGCAGGATACTGACGCTTCGCCGGTGGTCTTGTAGAATGAGGATACCGAGGTCACCATGACGACGCAAGTGGGTACCATTCTTTGGATGGCACCGGAAGTATGGGGCGGTAGCTACAATGCCAGCTGCGACGTCTACTCCTTTGGTTTGTCTTGCCCCATCGGCCCAGCGCCTGGTTGCATCTATCGGATGCTTGCTGAGCACGGTGAAGGGGGGAAGGTTTTATGCCCATGATTCATGTTTCTCACGGGTTGGCGCTTGTTTGCGTGTCTGTTTCTTTGCTCGTTTGAAAATGTGGACAGGCGTGGTGCTATGGGAGTTGATTACGCGGCAGCTTCCCTTTGAGTACGAGGGCTTTCTCAATCTGCATCCAACGAATTTCTTTGCTGAAGTGGTGCGCCCCCAACGTCGACCCACCATCCCGTCAGAAGTTGGCCTGCGCGTAAGTGCCCCGACTGGATTGCAGCAACCTGCCGCGACCCGCGGATTGGTTGGCTTATTCTTGCCAATCAGCACGGGACTTGTCATGGCTCACCTGATCGTGAACGTGCCTTCTCTTAGAGTGCCGGGTTTCCGGCCGATTATCACAAACTGATGAGACGGTGCTGGGAAGAGGATCCGCGATTGCGCCCCAACATGACAGCTGTAACCAACACGTTGCTGCGGTTGGTTGAATCTGGTCAGCAGGTTGCATCGGCAAACACCCCTTCGTCTTATCAACGGCGCGCCATGAGCCAGCTGCCAGCGGCGGCTCAGACAGTGGGCCATACCTCTTCTCGGCCCAGCCATCTCATTTGAAGTGAGTGAATGGGCGGAGGCAGTTGGTAAACTCCAATCAGTCGTGTCTAGGCCCGTTTAAGCGGGATATACCTGGTGGTGGTGGTGGTATCCGTGCATGTGAGAATGATCATGTTTGTTCTTGGCTTTACGCGTGTAGTGTGAAAGATCATGCGATTCTTTGGTAGGGGTTGTTGTTGTTGTTGTTCTTCTTCTTTTTTCCTCCCGCTGAGCGGGAATAAAACAGCGGCCAAGGGCGTGCTGCAACCCAGGCAGAGATTGGGAAACGCTGAAAAACCATTTCTTTGACGGTTGCATTTTCAATTTGCCAATTTATGTTCCTTTCGATATGTCTTGTTCAGATTTGGTGCCTCTCGGGGCGAGACCGTCGTCACGAGGATTGCCCGAGACGAGTCAGCTCACTGCCAGGGTTGGTAGTAATCACCAAATTCCACCTTCACGTGACCATCTGCGACGCGCGGCAGGAGTCCTGCCACGGGAATAACATTCCAGTGAAGGGCTAGCGTGACGTCCTTGTTCTTCCTATTGAAACGAAAGCAGCGCAAGGGTTTGAGTAGAAGCGGCCTGAACTTGCGCGAATGAGATGCAAAGTTAGCAATGTGAAGCATGCTTACAGGAGGCCGTGGCCATCGTCAAAAAAGGGGTACTTGAGCTGAACGTTGCTCAGATTGAAGCGATCAGCCCCCGAGTTGCGCAGCACGATTTGATCCCAGACCACCACCTGGTTCAAGCGCTGTGTCATGACAATGATCACACCCATCAGTGAGCACGCACAGTCTACCAGGTGGAGAAAACCAAACAAACAAAGCACATGAATGGCTGCGTTCTGCGATGGGTGCGTGGACCTACGTTTTTGCGCGTCTTGTATTCTGCGGTCATGTAGAGGAAAAGCTGCTTGGTGTTCCAATTGAACAGCGGCGACAGGTCTACACCACGAAGATGAGGGGTGGCGCTTCCAGTCGAAAGGTATCAAAGCAATGTTGCATGACACTGACCAGCATCGATGTCAAAGGTGAAGCTGGCTCGGTCATAGGACTTTTGAATATGGTGAAACTGCCGCAAATCGCCCCTGCCACAGCCCAAGGTGAGGTCGAAGAATGCCGTGAGCGAGGCAACGCACTGCCTGAGAAGGAAATGCACAAATTCAAATCAACCGGACGTACACCACCGGGTTGTTCACACGAATGTCAACGGAGGGGACTGCTGATTCCAAGCTGGCCGTGAGAAAGCAGCCCAGGGTGGCAATGGCCAGACAGGAGAAGGCGTACGCGAAAAGCGCGTTGGCCCGAGTCACAAAATTGTGCATCGTCATGCCGCTGATTGAGCAGCAGCTGAGGAGGCCAAGGACAGACACAGCCAATGATCCAGAAGCAAGGCCAACACAAGCACAACTGTGGATCAACCCTGAGACCCCAGTGGCAGTCAAGAGGTGCGATCAGCGATCAAGCGCCGCCGCCTCTCTCTCTCTCTCTCTCTCTCTCTCTCTCTCTCTCTCTGTCTGTGCCGTGAGCACAACAGTAAATTACAACACGTTTGTATTGTTGTAATTTACTGTTGTGTTGTTTGAGGTGCGGACAGTGGTTTGCGGACGTGATTTCCGGCGACAGGAGGGGCAGGGGGGTGGCGACGAGTGGTGGCTCGGGTTGCTCGCTTCCCGTTCTGAGCTGGGCTTCCTGACTGTGTGGATTGGGTTGGAGTAGGTGGGCTGGTGGTGGTGGTGTGATTTACTTTTAAACTTTGAAGAAGCGTGGGTGGCGCGGACGAGAATAAAACCCAGCGAGCGACAAGCGCTGCGGTGCGAAGGACGTGAGGCGCAAGGACGCCTTGGTAACGGAGACCCATGGCAAGTGTGTCGAGGAGGCGCCTGCGGCTGGCGCTGGTGCTGGCATTGGCACTGGTGCTGGGTGGGGCTGGCGCACCCATCGGTGAGCGTGAAGGCAAGAGAGTGGCGATTATCGGTGCGGGCGTGGCGGGCAGTGCCACCGCCTACTTTCTACGCCACAATGGTCGCCTCAACCTAACCGAGGAGGACGAACCGGTACGCAAACCAAGGCGATACCAGCCACCACGATGAGTGGCTGTGCGCAAAGATTGCGGGCTGACTGCTTTTTTGTTTTTTGGGTGTGTCGTGATCCTCCACTGGGCAAACTGCCATCGGTGCCTAGAGTAACTTGGTGATTGACATGTACGATGCGAGTGCTGAGCTGCAGTGCGGTCGCGTCAGGTCGATCGATGTGAATGGTATGACTTGCCCTTATCCTTTGTGCGCGGTTGAACACTTCTTGTGCAAGCTCATGCCAGCTCCCACCCGACAGGCAAAACGGTGGAGGTGGGTGGTGCTGTCATTCACAATAGCAATTACTATGCCACCACACTGGCCAAGCAGCTCGGGCTGGAGCGCACTCTCCGTACGATACCGTCCTGCCGGGATCCTGATAAAACCTTTGCACCACAGGCTCGAGTCTGTCTTGCCAAATCTGCTTCGTGAGCCCTCTGGCTGACAGACTGATCTTTCATCATTGTCTACCACTCTGCCACCCGGGCTTGTACCGCAGCCTCTTACAAAGAATCCGTTGAGGCGAAGCCCCGCATGGGCGTGCTTGGGGAGGAAGGCCTGGTCATTGAAACCAGCACATATCAGGTGCGCAACCCAGCCTTGGATGGCGTTGTTTGGCATTACTTGACCAGGCTCACAGGCAGGCGTGGCATAGCTTTGGACAGCGGCAAAGATGTTGCTGCGTTATGGGCTTAGCCCCTTTCGAGTGAACCATGCCACCTTGGGCGTGCTGCACAGGTTTTCAGAGATTTACGAGCAACACGAGCAAGGTGCGCTTTGTTGTCCACGGCGAATCGTGGGGAATTGCCATCCTTACACCTGGCGGTGCCCCACGTGTAGGCCAAACCTTTGAGGACATTGCCGAATTTGTCGAGATGATTGGTGCAGTCAATTTGACCAATACGTCTTTGCGGTCTGTAGAGCAGAGCGCATTGTCTCGACTTGTTCACGCTTCGTCTGACTCACACCAATGACGGCTAACTTGGGGGCGGTCCTTTTTTTATTTTTTTATTTTTTTTTATTTTATTTTATTTTTTTCTTGTTGTCTCACAAACACTTTGGATGGGCGCGACAGCCAATTTCTGATCAATGAGGGTGTGGGAGAGACATTCATCAACGAAGTGGTTGCAGGGGTGATGCGCGTCAACTATGGACAGGTATGTGCACGGGTGTTTCACCCCAATTACTCGTTGCTAGCCGTTTGAAGTCTTCCCGTTAGCCACTTGACCTGCTCTTTGGCATGGTTCCTGGCGCCGCTCATACCCCTTGTTGTCTTTTTTGTGGCGTTCCTTGTCTTGTGGTGATGTTCAGTCGGTCGATGTTCCCGCTTTTGTGGGCTTGGTGTCCTTGGCCGGTGGGACGGACGATATCTGGGCCATTGAGGGCGGAAACTGGAGGGTATGTGCAAATGTGGAATCTGTGGTGTGAGCAATGGCTCGCGTCAAGTTCACCGAGGCATCGCCGTGGTAGTTGTGCGAGGGCTTGCGAGAGGCCAGCACCATGACGCTGCGCACAAGACACACCATAACTGGCCTGCAGGTGGCGCCAGCTGCGGGGCCCAAGGACTTTAGACTCGTGTGGACGGATGGTACTAGTCGCATTGACCACGGGCATGATGCATGGGCTGGCATTTGCCATTTCCTTTCTCTTCCAACTCAATGTTTTCGTCGTCATAGATGAAGGCAATGTGGTGAGCTCGGAAAAGTATGACGCAGTGGTGATTGCCGCTGGCCTGAGCGAGGCCAAGCTGCAGCTGCCCAAGAGTGTGCGCAAAAAGGTGCGGGAGCGCGCCCTGTACCGCACAGATAGATGGCTGCGGCCGGGGAGCAGCCGTTGTGAGTCCATGTCCGTTCATTTTGCTGTTTGCGGCCAAATTTTGAAAAATGACAGGTGGTTGAGACACCATATCATACGACCGTAGCCACCATCGTACAAGGACAGCTGCGCGATCTGTTTGATCATTTGGCCTGTGATCTCCCCGAGGTGCGTACTTCCAGCGTTAAAGAGGAAGGCCGATGTCGTGGCATCGCGCGCCCCCGCGCGCGGTTCTGTCTGGATGCCAGAAGCAATTTGACTTGAGAGATGTCGGGCTATCCATCTTGCTGATCCGAACCACTCGTTGAACCAGGTTTTGTTAACGACGGAGCATGAGGACCATCCCTTTTCTAGCCTGGGTTTGTTTCTCGTGCGCGCGCACGCGCGCGTGTGGGCACATGCATCAGCGAGGGAAAGGGAGGCAAAAATTAGAGGAATTTCGGTGTTATCATTGAATTTGTATGTTTTTGTGCAGGCCGTCTGGGGAGCCTGCCGGCTACGGAGGAAATGCCTTGCCCTGGCATTTACAAGGTGAGCTACTCAACGGTGTCAGGGCTGCCACCTCTTAAACTCGCGGGTAGAGTCTCTCTCGCTCATGTCTCAACGGCAATGGGAGTCTTAGATTTTCTCATCTCAGCCTCTGGGCGATGCGGAGCTTGACGCCTTATTCGCAACGCAGCTGGCCGAGGTTCGTTTGTTCCCGGGCAGACGAATTTCTTTCATGACGGATGTCACTGTTTTGTCGATTTCTTCTTCGTTTCCGCGATGTTGGACCCTGGCTCGCGTGGCCAGTTATAATTGGCTCACAAGCAACGTGGTGTGACGCAGCCGGAAGTGCGCGTGTGGAAAGCTTATCCCGAGTATGGCGTCGGCCAGCCCCACTCTGCTGTCGAGCTCATGCCTGGTACGTGCAGCTTCCACGGATTGGGTCTCTGAGTACTCGATGGAGCTCATTGGCGGGTTGGGATCGGGTTTAGGGCTGGTCTATGTCAATGCGGTGGAGACTGTGGCATCGGCAATCGAGGTGTCGCTGATCGGTGCGCGCAACGCGGCACTACTGGTCGGGCATCACTTTTTGGCTGAAGCGGAAGGTTCCTACCATGCTGCCGCCGCTGCCACCGCGACCACAGCCGAGGATGAGGTCCCGGTGGAAGAGGCCGAGGCGGCGAAAGAACCAGAGGCAGCAGAGGTGGAGGATCAGGTGGCGGCAGCGCAAGTGTCAAATGACGAGCAAGAAGCTGGACATGATGCCGCACATGAGCGGGCCAAGTACACCGAAGCGTCCAACAAGGAGCAACACACCAAAGTGTCGCCAGAACACAAAAAGGCCAAGCCGAAGCGCGCTGCCTCGACGGAGGCGCCACCAAAGTCTAAAAAGCGTACTTCGCAGCACACGGAACTCTAGAGGGCAGCAAGTCGCCATGCCATAAAAACTGTGCACGTACGGGGTTTTTTTTTTGTCCGGGTGTGTGTGCGTGTGCGTGCATCCATATGACGAGCCCGCTCAGCCAGAATTCACTTTGCTCTTTTGCCCGTGAAAGTTGAAGTGGTGAAGCGACTTGCATTCAACAAGCAGAACGCACCCAGATGCCCGATCAAGCCAGAGTGAGACCCTCAGGGAGAAGGCAAGGCTCCAACGATGCGCCCATAACCAGTTGGAAAGAGGGACCTTAGTGGGAGGGGGGAGGCAAGGCTCCAACGATGCGCCCATAGCAAGCCTGAGAGATGGCAATGTGCCAAGAGTCAACACCACCAGAACATGATGACATGTGTTTAAAAATGGAGGGGAACACTTGTCCTTAGCGCACACATTTTGTGACGTTGCGTGTGTGATAAGCAGGAACACATGTAGCTGATTCTGGACAACTGGGTGGTGTGAGTACCAATATAATACTTATTGCAGTCTATTTGATGGAATTTGTAGGTTTGTTAATATTGTTGATGTGAGTAGATGTGGTATATGTTGTGGTTTATGTAAGGCGTCTCGAACGTTCCTAGTACGACATCTTCCCGAATGTTTTCGTCATCTTCTTACATAGTGTACATTACAAATTCTTCGTTTTCCTCTGCTCCTATGCATTTAAGGTTGAATGGTTGACGCAAGGCGCGTTTGACCCAACCACATAGATGGCCCACCTCATTCACAAACACCACCAACACATACACAAAATAAAACAGCATCAAATATGAAATCTACAAAAAGTCTCTGATAAGCGCGTAAAAGTCGGAATTGAACGTCGTCGGTAGAACCAGAGAGCCACCATCTACACTTTTTCACCCCAGAGAGTCGGTCCTGACCCAAGGGATCGACCCATTATAAATCAATGCTTTAGCAGAGATCCAGTGTATCCAAGGCCATACTGCAGAGACGCGTTTCACCCACGATCCCAAAACGGAAAAACTCAAGACACTTTTTTTTTTAACTTTTTTCTTTTATTCTTCACACACACACACACACACACACATATTTCTGATCAAAACGGCAGCGCCCTCTGGCTGCCCCCGCCGCCTCGCTCACTCACTCACTCACTCACTCGCTATTGGGGCAGTGTTGTAACCACATCGCCAAGCCGGCCCCTCATTCGCTTGACCATACTTCCTTGACACAAGCCAATACGCTCGCCCCCCCTTACCGCATTGAAAACTGAGAGAGAGAACTCTCGCGCGCGCTCTCTCTCTCTCTCTCTCTCTCTCTCTCTCTCAGTCGGGTCAGTCGGTCGGTCAGCTGGTCGGGGTGACTGGCACGATTCCCCCCCCTTCCCGCTCTCGCCGACGCTTATACAGACAACAGTATACCAGTTCTTCCGGGAGTAGACAACGACTGTAAACTGGTTGCTGCCCACCGCGCTCCTCAGGTCCGCAAACCATGAATATGCAGTCAGACCCGGACTCCCCGATGCTTGGCAGCGGGCACAGCGGCAACGATGATGCCGGTTCCAACACGGGGCAGCATCCTGTCAAACGAACTCGCCGTCAGATTCGCCACCGCGTACGTACCCACCACCATCACCATCCGCTGCCGTTTGCCTCGACGCTGGTACACGGAAGAAGAGAAAATGAGACATGGCGCATTGGGTTGCTCACTTGCCGTCACCTTGGCGCTCCCCCCCCTCAACAGGAAACGGAGAAGCTTCGCCGGGAGCGATTGGCAGATGGTTATTCTCGCCTGCAAGACTTGTTGGTCTTGCCGCGGACCCTCGAAAAGTCGGCCGTGCTCGAATCTGCAGCCGCCCGTATCGTTGAGCTGACCAAGGCGTTGGAGCGGGTTGAAAAGTCAAATGCTGTTCTGACAGAACAACTCGCCCAATCTCAGCAACAGCAACAGCACCATCAACTCCAGCTTCTTCAATTGCAACAGCAGCAGCAGCAGGTCACACACACCTTCTCGCACGGCTCAAGTAGCATCTACCCCACGCAGCCTCAGCACCAGCATGGACACTTGACCATGCATGCCCCGCAGCAAACGCTCGTGGGCTCCCCCAACAGCGATCATAGCAGCAGTAGCAGCCCTACTCAATCAGGGCTCATCGCCGCGCCTGGGTCTTTCCCCTCTCACCCCCACGACCCAGTTCACCACAAGACCTCCAACTGGCCCGCACAGGATCATCGTCACCACTCAGACCGTGGCGATGCATGGCAGGGCCTGACCATGCGTACATCTGCCTCCTATACGTGGGACATGGACCAGAAACCGGGAGTTGAGGGCAACCTACACTTTGCCCCCTTAGCCTCCTCCCACACCATGCGAACACACCAAAACCGGCCTGCGTACGCCGGTGCAAGCTCCACCTTCAATCGCGACTTGCTTGACCTAGCCATCGACTACCCTCACCAAGGCAACAACCCCGGCACCACGGATGCTGATGTTGAAGTCTTAAGCACCCGCAATGCAATGGACGTGTACGACATCATGATTGAGCTCAAGGTCAACCCCTGCATTGGTCGCTTTAAGTGTCAGGGACCTCGCGTTCTAGAACTGAATACCCATGCCGAAAACATGCTCGGAATCACGGCCTGCTCCATTGCAAACACCCTAAACTGGCATAATCGGGTCACAGTACCGGACGACCCCATGTTGAATGTGCGAGACCTCATTCAGTTTCTGAGTGATAAGAGCCTTCTCCTCCGCTCCGTACGGCGGATGCGCACCTCCACAGGCGAAGTTATCTGGTCTTACGGCGTCACTCGCATTGTTGAACTTTTTGATATCATGTATCCCGTTCTTGAGAGCAACTTCATCCCCATCGAACCTCCTGCTGACGGCCGTGCCCTCGTGGTCGTCGAACCGCGAAACCCGTGAGAAAGTCCCGTTGCTGCGGCGCTCATCATCCGCCAGCTCCCGATCCTCGATCCTAATTGCCCTCGATTATTGCCCATCTTGTGCCGTTTGCACGTTTCTGCCCGTCTGTGATTGGCAACCGTGCCTCATCGTCTGCTTCCCTCTCATGTGCGCTTCTGTTGAGTCTGGCGTTTACATGATGTTTCGTCTGGGCCACATGTCCCTTCCCCCCCGCCTCGCTTTACTGTCTGTTCTTGCCGGTTTGAAATGTTTTCTACCCCGACTGTTGTTCCTTATTCGTGGCGAATTCAGCTGCTGTTCCAGCGTGTCTCTATCTCCGATGGCTTGTGAAAGCCTTGAATACAGTCCTCTTTCCTGCTCCTTTTGATTTCAAAGCCTGTTGCCACCTGAACAAGGGCAGCCACCACCCCACGCAACGGTGACCAAAGCGTTTATGTATCAGACAGCCGGCTCCTAAAGTGACAGTCTCCCACCAAAAGGAAAGAAACACACACACACACACACGATTTTATTAAAATTTTTTTGTTTTATTTTTTTTTGTGTGAGCGGAGTCCATACTCACCGCGCAGTTCGCAGACAAACGCTTGACGCAGGACCCTCCCCCTCCTCAGCGCGCGCGCGCGCACACACACACACACACACACACACACACACACACACACACACACACACACACACACACACACACACACACACACACACACACACACACACACACACACACACACACGAGGATGGCAGATGCAGTGGCAGAACGGCGGCGCTTGGCTCGGGAGCGGCGAAAGCAGCGAGTTTTGAACAACTCGGAAAATCGACTCGAGGCTCTGTCCCATGCCAATGTTCGCGAGGCTGCGCCCGTCTCGGCCAAGGACGAACGCGCCTTGCATCAAAGTCTTGAGCGGGCTGCTGCTCAGCCCCAGGCCACCTCCGCACCTACTACCGCAAGTGAGGAGCAGCCATCTGCCTCGAAGCAGCAAACCCAGGCTACAGCCGATTCGCAGCTGCGCCAGCGTCATGGCACAACTGCCACACCAGTTCCGCAGGATGCAGTAGCTGCTGCATCATCCCCAGATGCTTCGGAACCGACCACTGCGCCGACCTCACTTCCCAACACCGGCTTCGGACCTTCTCGAGCAAAGTCTATGGGCTCGCCGTTTGCTCGGCAGCCTTTTGTCCCGGTCCATCTACCTTCACTGGTGGTGGTGCTACTCACATGGCTTGCAGCCATCTGGGGCCCTCAAGACTGGGTGGTGAGTCTTGCTAACCAGTTCCGCCCTCTTCTCCGCTCTTTTGCCGTTGACGACACTCACGGGCTCTGCCTTGGGCTTTTGTGCTGTGCCAGGGAGAGGCAGGCACTGTGGCGGCATTGATTGCCGGAATGGCCATGTATGATCGACGTCCCAAGGAACTGGCTGCCTACTTTATGGTTGCTGTAGTCACCCTCACGCTCGTCAAAGCCTCCTCGTAACCGCGATGTTGCCGTCGCGCAGCACCCAGCGTCACCTCTCTTCTACTAGAGAGCGCACAGTACGGAGCACCATCCTCAGCGATTCTTTGATCATCTCTGGCCCCCCACCCCCACATGACTTGATGACCCTCGTGGCCGCGCCACCTGTGAATCCATTTCTCTACCAGACACTCCATTGTGAACACCGAGCGCATTTCCTTGCAGCTGCAAAGGCTTTGTGTCTAGGGTGCGCCTTGCACCGCGCCGAGCCACCCCTCGATTGGCCAAATTCACAGTCAAGTTTTCCTTCTTCTTCTTCTTCTTTCACACATGCACTCAACAAAATTTCAACTTGGATTCTGACGTGTGACCTATGCCTTGCGGAAAGAGCCAATGTCGCAAGAGTGGGTTCAACCATGACCGCCCGGCGGTCTAGTGGCACATACTTGAACACCCCAAACTGCCATCTGCTTGCACAGTGCCCTCTCACTGAGCCTCATATAAAGCTCGGCCAACGACTCAGGAGGGGATGCAGGGTCGCGCTGTTTATCGGAGCTTGCCCTCGCGCTTGAGCTGCTTTGTAAACTGATCCAGTTTGTTTTGCAGGTGACGCAAAACCTCAATCTCTTCAGACAGCGCCACGCGCTTGCCAGCGATGAGGTTTGTCTTGGCCTCGGGATCCTACAAGTTAACACGAACATAACATCCCATCAGCGTGCACAATGACCATAAGACTTGGCCTTGATGCTAATCGATGACGCATGAGCAGCACCTTACCGCACTCATGTCATTCAAAACTTCACGGATTGATTCTTGCAGCTCGCGCTTATACTGCATGGCCTCAAGCCGCAGCATATTGACGGTCGCTTCAAGCATGTTGTTCAAGCGCCAAAAGAGCAGCACATCATGACAGGCCAGCCCGTTGACAGGCTGGCACACTCGGGACTCACAGCCAAACTTGCTACGGCAATACTTGGCAGATTGCAGCGCCTGCTCCAGGAAGTGGCGCTTGAACAAAAGACCGTACGTCTCCTCAATCGCCTCTGCAGCCACCCGCACCCGAAGATCAGACGTCGTTTCAGCCAGGTACAGACGAGCCAGGGCGAAAAAAAAAGTTTACAAAACACTCAAAGAGCGCACCTGGTTCTACATTCATGCGATACTTGCGCTTGAGACTGTGTTGCAAACTGCGAATTTCCTCCGTGTTCAGGCCTCGGCGAATTTCAGTCTATTGCGCCCCCAGGCAGGCACAACAGTACAGAGCAAGTCAAGGCGCATCAGTACAGCGCAGCAAGTCGCTGTCCCGCACTCGCACTGCCTGCGGACACGCACCTGCTTGCCCTTGAAGTAATGCTGCAATTCCCCAGCGCAAGCGTTGAATTGGTGTTGGTCAGTGGTGTTTGACGTCCAGGTCAGCCAGCGCCACCAGGCACTGCTGCCCTTGCGAGTGGCAATGTCGGCATCTGTGCGCTGCAGCTCCGTGGTCAGTTTCCAATTCATGAATTTGGCGGCTGCATCCCAGTCCCGTCGGGTGCGGATGACATCGTCGCGCAGCATGAGCTCTTGGACGCTGCGAATTTTGGAAATGGAGTGTGGATCCCACTCAAAGTTTGCGCTGCACGCCTCCTTGACCTCGGCCTTCAGCTTGTCAAAGACGCCGTCCTCATCGCGAATGGTCAGGACCCGCATAAACTCGCCCATGAGCGTACTAATTCATTGAAAAAGAACGCACCGATGAGAGACAACACACAGGGCGACCCAAGCTTGATTCACACGAAGTGTGTAGCGGTTTGACACTTACTCGCGGGCAGCTTTGACGGAGAGACGTGGCAGCTCGGCCGCAGCCCAAGCATCGAGAGCGTTTTCAACACGAGTCTGGGTGGCGTGGCAAGAGGTCATACACGTGGGGTGCGGTGTGATATGAGACTGGTCGCGATGGCAGCACAAAAACGCCTGGGAACCTTTCGAGCCTCTTGAACCTTGACGGAGGGAGGGGGTTGACAAGCGCCAGGAGAAGCAGGCCAGCACCTTGAATTCGGCGGCTGATTCAACTTGCGACGCAGAGACGTAGATTTCATCAATGATGAAAGGACGAATGGTATCCCAAATCTAAATGAACGCACACGCAACATTGTCAAATCAACGTCAAAGCCACCACATCCAGCCGAACGTCAACAATGAGCAACGTCGGACACGCAAAGGAAGCGCAGCTCTCACCTTTTCGTGCAGCACCTGCTCCCACTGTTCCGGTGTCATTTCATCATTGAATTCGGTAATGTTTTGCAGGATGTCGTGCCGACCCATGTTGAAAAGGTCGTCGCGGCTGAGGCGGGCTTGATTAGGATAGGTGTTCTTCCACTCGGTCTCTTTTTGCTTCAGGGCCCGCTGAATATCTTGCGATTCTTGTTGCACCGTGTCCCGGACGCGCTCCCAAAAAATGTCAGACACCATCCTGGAGGATCAGGAACGGTATGAGGACGATAAATGCCAAGAGCTGGGCCTGCATGTCATGCGACAAGAGCATCACCGCTTCTCATCGTACCGAGCGAGATTATCTGTGCCTGTGCGACGCGTGTTGAAGGTTTGACTCTTGAAAAGGTCGGATTCTTGAAAGTAGCGTCGCTCGTTTGCCCGAATGTGCTCAATGCTAGCCTCTGGATCCGCTGTTCCTGTTACGACGGCAAAGTAGGCGCGTGCTTGCATATTAAAGCGCTCGCCCTGCAAAATGGATTGCAGCTGCAACCACCCCGCGCCGGTGGGACAAGCGTAAATGCAAGGCAATGAGCCTTGGTCAAGCATGCTCACACCCATGCTCACACCCGTTTGCCGACACAAACGAGAAAGGTACCTTGGTGGGAGCGACATTCATCTTTTCAGCCATGTCAATCTTGGTGAGCACAAACACGGTGCGATCGCCTGAGAGTAGGGCAGCATGGCAACAGAAACCAGTGAGCTGAGAGCAGACGACCGTGGGCACATGATGGATGCAAGAAAACCGCTGCGCATGAAGCACAGGCTGTGAACGGGCGAGCGCAAACGCTTTGATGCGCCAAACTTGCCTTCGGGATCCGCAGAACGGACGAGATCGGCTACGCTGCTGGCTTCGGCATCACGCGAGGCGTCTTGCACACAGAGGATGATGCTGTTTGGGTTTTCAATGTGTTGCTTGCACATGTCCAGGATGGAGCCTTTGGTGCTTTCGGGCATGCCGCGAGTATGGTGTTGGATGATGCCGGGCAAGTCGACCAACACCATGGGCTGCAGGCCAGGACCTCGAAGATCAAGGGCCAGCGTTTGATTGCTCACCACGGCGCCACCGGCAACGCTGGACACCATGCGACGCTCAATCTCATCACGCAGATCCTTGAGGTCACCCTCACTGCGTAGGTTGTACATTCGCTGGGAGTCCTTGAACTGAGCCACGTGGTCCCGACCCTCGCTCAACGTCACCTGCAAGACCATTCAACCATTCAACACAGGGTCACATAACGGCCAGTTCAAGAGAAGGGCCATTGCGGATGGCGGTTGGCCAGCTCACCTGAATGGGCGAGCGCGTCATCATCTCTCCAGCTCCGCGTGGAAAGATGCGGGCGCGCACAAGCACCTCAAGCACGCTGGTTTTGCCAGCAGACTACGACATAATGTCACAGCAGAATGTTACGGGCAAATGCCGGTCATGGGGTCGAGCACCAAACCACGATTTCAATATCGAGAGCCAATGGGAGCGAATGAGAGAGAGAGCAAGGAGGGATGGCGGGTTGGGAGGAGGACAAACCTGATCGCCAACAACAACGACGCGAGGCAAACGCTCTTGGGCTGCAAAGTTGCTGTCGACTTGACTGCGAAGCTGCAGAATATCACTGAAGAGGTCGATGGCCCGCTTGGCCTTGTCGGGCTTACTCTACCATCGCGTGGCAGCGGAACAGGCCAGGGGCGTCCACACAGACAGAACGATTTGACGTGAGACGGCGGGGCATGAGTAATGTGAACGACCAGGGTTGATGCGGCCTACCTTGGCGGCGTTGATGATGTTGACACGGTGGAGCTCCTCATTCTCGCCCTTGAGGCGATCGATATCTGCCTGCAGGCGGTTGCGTTCTTCCAGCAACTCCTGGCGCGCGGCGTCCTCGGCCCCCGCCAGGCGCGTTTCGAGGTCGTCAATGGTATCGCGAAGCTGTGCCACAGCAGCTTCACGGTCTTGTTGGAGTTTGTGCACCTGCGCCTGTAGTTCGGCGATGAGTGCCTGCTGTTCAAGCACTTGTTTTTCAGCGGGTGATGGACCCTTATCGCCATCGCCATCGGATCCTGCAGCTGCAGCTGCAGCTGCGGCTGCCGCAGCTGCATCACCATCCCCCGATGGTTCGGGATTGGGCTCGTTGCCATCATGGTTGTGGGCATGGCTGCGCTCCAATTCTGGTGTCATGCGAGAACGAATAACTTCGAGCTCACTCTTCATTGCGCCCATGATGGAGTTGGCTCCATCTGCAAGGTCAGCAATGCCAAATGGGAGATCCACATCTGGAATGGACTTGCGCATTTGATCAGCGGCTGCACCGAAACCGCCAATGATCATGCCGGGAACAACGACGAAGCGCTTGAAAACGGCACCCGCAGCGGCAACGACCGAGACAACTTGACGTCGTTGCCCAAAGCCTTGGTGTTGCAGCACGCGCCCAGGCTGGCGTTGGGCTGGGCACAATTGAAATATCGGGAGGGTGGCACATACACAAGGAATCAGGCTAAGCAACGCCCTGCAGTACGAAAGAGTCTGGAGCATGGGGGCGTACCGAGGGCATGATAGCCGCGCAGACAGAGGGCTGCACGAGAGGCAAGCGCCCGGGGCGGGGCTGCCATGGTGGAAAGGTGCAGACCAAAAGCACAATGTTGCAAAAGCCAAAACGTCTCAAACCCGAGGACACCAAACTTTTGAATGCCCCTGGCCGAGGAGACTAGGCGCCAGAAGCGAACGAGCGGCGAGAGAATGGTGAGCCATCAACACGTTGAAGGTGAGCACGAGCCGACCAAGAGCGAGTCAACAAACAGGAACAGCACAAAATCCCAAAGCACAGTGTGTTTGATCATGGATGGAAGACACGGATGGCAGATGTGCATGGAAGACGCCCGGCTGGGTGGGATGGGGGAGGCCTTGGGTTGGTCGTCGACCAGTAACAATGACTCCAGACCAAGCGCATCAACCCGCAAATGCTTCCCCTTCTTGTCTGCTCGCTGTGAGAGTGGATGCCGCGACTCTGACCCGCGCTAGCCTTGTAAAGATTGACCATCTTTCAGAGAGGGCATAGCGCCGCGCAACGCAGACCCAGTACCGCGGGGCAGCCCCAGGCACATGGCCACCAGCAAGAACATCGCAAGCACCATGATAATGCTTGTCACGGAGAATACGAGCACACAGGCACACACTGGCACACGAGCACAGCAGCGAGGAGAAGCACAGACAGCAGAACCAACACCAAGGGCCTCGAGCCACACCAGCCTCAGAGTTGCATTCAAATGCTCCCCTCCAGAGCAGCCAACACTGGCACTGCCATTTCACACACGCGCGCGCGCGGCCGCGGGCTCGTTCGCACCTGAAATCGCACAGAGAGAGAGAAGCCAAAAGGCACTTGTGCGTCAAGTGTGATTCGCAAAAGGCATTAACCGTGTTGTAGGTGGAGTGGGGTGTGAGACTCGCTGACGCAAGGTGCTTCCTTAACTTTACAGGGTTTCTTTTATTTTCTGTGCTTGTTTACTTTAAAGGGGTGTGATGATTGCAAACCAAGTGCAATGGAACGGAACGTACTGCTACCATGCGTCATTGATAGTTACAACAAGTAATACAGTAGGGGAGCTGGGAACGAAAAAGGGCAGCGCCTCCGGCGGCTCCAACATCATGAGCCCTGTTGGCGTGAAGGATGGCGGGGCAGGGGTGTGAGCCGCATGTGGCCAGGGGTGAACTGGGCTCTGCAAAGTGCCACACAAACCTTGCGTGCGTTGAAGAGCGATCCATCCGCCTGTTTACCTATGGTGTCATGCCTGGAGGCCTTCAGACTGAAACGGACGAGCCAATAGGGACGATGCTACACCCAGCGACTGGCGCTTAGCGCCCTCACCATAAAGGCTGCACACCGCAAAGGCTGCAAACCACAAACCACACACGCCTCGAGGCAGGCGATATGCAAGCCACAGCCCGCTGGCTGCCATCATCATCTCCTCTCCACATCCGCTACCATTCAATTCATCTCTCTCTGTCTCTCTGTCTCTCTAAGTCTCTCTCTCTCTCTGTCTCTCTGTCTCTCTAAGTCTCTCTCTCTCTCTCTCTCTCTCTCTCTCTCTCTCTCTCTCTCTCTCTCTCTCTCTCTCTCTCTCTCTCTCTCTCTCTCTCTGTGAT